CAACAACATCAATGGCTGGCACAACAAGGCAGGGTCAGGCAGCATGCTCCAGGACAAGAAGGCAACGCGGCGCACAGACAGTCACTTCCTTCAGCTGTACAGCCAACAACTGCTTGAGGGCACCTGTCTTCTGCACATCAAGGCCATTGGCTTGCCCCACAAGCGCTTCATGGGGCTGCAGGACAGCGTGTCAAAGGTGAGTGTAGAGCTGTAGGCAGCACTTTACTGGAGCGCTTTTGCTGTCGTCATGACAACAAGGCAGTTGTATACTGCAGCACCGCAGATGTCAGCAAAAGCAAGCAGCATGAGCAGGCAGCAAGGGCAGGCAGCAAGCGCAGGCAGCAAGAGTGGGCAGCGCAGGCGCACAACAAGAGCAGGCAGGCCAGGCATGTGTATGTGCGCTGCAAGACATGCAGGCAAACTCCTGACAAGAGCTAATGGCCACTAATCTATCTATCCAAGGCAAGCAGTAGGATGCCATGTTGATGATCTACCATGCTGCCTGCCAAACAATGGCTTGCGTGGCTGCCCACGCATGCAAGCTCTTTGGGCTCCTGGCGCTGAGGCAGCAGCAGCAGTAGCAGCAGCGCAGCAGCAGCGGCAGTCTCACCTCAAGAACAAGAATTGCAAACAACTTGCGCACAAGACACTGGCACCTGACAGACCACGCCTTGTCAACAGTGTGCAGCACCTACAGCAGGTCAGGGTCAGCACAATCACGCGTTGCGCATGCACTACTCACAGGTCCAGCATCCCACAGCACAAGGAGATTGGTACAGAGGCCGGAGCAAGGGATCTGTTGGGCTTGCGTGTCTCCTTGTAGACAAGCATGCAGTGGCAGCGCTGCTTCTTTGCCTTCTTGGGAGCCTTGTGGTTTTGGCGGCGCTGCCAGACATTCATGCTCATGTTGCTGTAGACAAGGGTGCACGCTGCTGCTGTTACCAGCGTGCTCTCAAAGCACATTGCGTACACACCACCGCACTTCTTAGGTTCATTCTGGATGCCGCAAAGCTTGTCCAGCAGCTTGTTCAGCTTGTGTAGAACTCAAGTTAGATATGTAAGAAGAAGAGACCTCAAGGCACTTGCTCAATGCGCTTGCTTGTTGACAAGACACGTTGCTGACCCTTATCCTGCCTGGCAGCACCTACTCACAATGCATTGCCCTGTGGATAAGTGCTGCGGCAGATGTCAAAAAGCTTGCGCGTGCGGTTCTCAAAGCTGCCAATGAACTCTGCCAAGGGCATCTTGATGTACTCCTCCAGCCAGTAGCAGCAGGATTCAACAATTGCGCCGCCTATGCCAAGCGTCAGCAAGAGCTTGAGCATGCGCAGCAACAATCTCAAGCATGCACCAACTGAAGCAAGCTTGACCATGCGCTGAGGATGACAGGTTCAAGCATGCGCCAAGCAGGACGTGCTTGAGTGCGCGCACCAACAGCGGCCTGCAAGAGTAAGCTCAAGCATGCATCAACAGTGGCAAGCAAGAGCACATGCGCCAACAATGGCAAGCTTGAGCATGCACTGGGAATGGCATGCGCACAGAGAGAGGCCCACTCCAGCATGTGTGCCAAGGACAGGACAGCAAGCTCCAGCAGCGCACGCGCATGCGCCCGCCAGCAGCTTGAGATGTTGGACGCGCGCGCACATGTGTTGCCAGCCGCTCAAGACGCCAGATGCTGTTCCACGGCAGCAAGCTCAATTCACCCTTGGGAATTGGCCAGAGGCAATGCTCCTTCAGCTTGACAAGGTACAGCTTGTCCCAGTGCATCATGTGAGCAGTGGAAGGCATTCATTCCCATGCTCACTGCTCTTCTGCGCTTGCATCTGTACGCCAAGCTGTACCTTTCCAACCCCTGCTTGAGGACTGCTTGCTGCAACATAGTGGTCTTTTCAATTGTAGTGTACCATTGCATGCAGCAAGCATGTAAGAACAGGCGTCAATCCCTGCATGGTCAGCCTGCCAACAAGCACATGCTCAATGTTGTGCAACCAGAGAGCAATGGTTGACATGGAGCCATGTTCAGACCAAAGGATGTTGCTTGTCTCATTTGCAGGGCCAAGCTATGTGGGTGACGCAAGCATCTACAGGTCAGAGCAGAAAAGAGCATGCAGGAAAGAAGGGGTTGCTTGCCATCCTGCGCTGGCACAAATTCACACTCACTGCACATGCGCCTGCACGCAGCTCTTCTCAAGACAGATCAATCAAATGCAACTGCATTCAGATCCGTCTGCTTGTGCGCAAGAATGGAAGCGCAAGCAGCAAGCAGATGTCAGGCGCATTGCCTGGCTTCTGCTTGCATCTGCGTGCTGTGCAAGTGTCAAACAGGCAGATGCGCTGCATATTCATGCTGCAGCATGGGATCACTGGCTGCCCAAGCTGCTCTCACTCAGCATGCTGCAGCTGATTATATCAATGACAAGGTAGAGGGTGTGCGTGGTAGGACAGTTGCCTTGGATGAAGTTGGAGACGTCTGACAGTCATTGGCAGATTTGTCACTCTGAGTTGCTCTACCCCTCAGAGACTGCCTTGTTGTTTGCAGTGCTGTTGCTGTGCAGTGCTGAACAAGTGCATGCGTGAGAAGCAGGGCGCTAGACGCAGCAGCTTGAAGACATACATGCCATGGAGGACATGTCAGAGTAGTTGGCCTCCAGAATCAATGTCCCTGTTGTGGTTGCTGTGGAGGGGTGCAGAGCGCAAGCATGTGAGCAGATGAGCCACTGGGCGCAAGAGCCAGCATGCACTGTCTATGAAGGAGTGCATAGCCGCAGCCAGATGGCCAATGAGGCCAACTTTGCGCTTCTGCAGCTGCTCTGTCCAGTGGTTGCGCTTCTTGGGAAGAGCGGCTGCCGTGACCTCAAAGTCAGGTAGCAGCTGTAGCTCACTGCCCAACCCCGCTCTGTACCACTGGCTGGTCCAGAGCTACCATGAGCAACTGCAGCATGTGGGAGCCCATTTGCCTGCTCTGCTTATCAGACTCTCCAAAGACTGCCAGCCTGCTGTTGTCTCCCAGGCTGTGTGCGTGAGAGATGGTGTGTGGCGCAAGCAGTAGACGGCATTCTACTTCTGCAAGGTGCAGTGCAGGCAGGGCTGCTCTGCTGCTTTCTCCATCACTGCCTTGTTGCTCCCTTCATTGCCCAACCAGGTTGCACAATTGCCAATCTACCATGAGTGTAGTGTCAGGCAGACCCAGCAACAATCCCAGGCACAAGCATACAGGAGATCACAGCTTGGGCAGCAAGCTGCGCAAGTGTCCCTTGCACAAGGCAACAAGAAGCAACAAGCCAGCAAGGGACAACAAGGCTGCTGCAGCAGCAGCGGCCAAGAAGATGGAGGACAAGCACTGGCACCACTTCAAAACCATGGCGTCTAGCTGTAAGGGGATTCTGCAGCTGGCAGGGTGAGTGGCAAGCAGCTGTCTTGAGTCTTGCATCCTGCAGCATGCACTTGTCACAGCCTGGTGCTGACCCCACTCCCAAGCCTGCCACCTCACCTGACTGCAGCTCCCTATCACAGAGGCAGACTGAGCAGCCTGGCGCAAGCTGCCAGAGCCGCAGCCTGAGGAGATTGAGATCAAGGATGCATGTAGGATTCACTGGGATAATCCTGATGCAAGCGTGCTCAAGCAGATTGTTGACTCCATCAGCCCAGAAGAGCTCAGGCCCCTGGCTTAGGATGCTACCAGGCTCAAGAGGCTTGAACAGGCATGGGTGGTATGCCAGCAGATGTGAGTGATTGACACAGAGCAAGCAGCTTCAGCTGCTTCATGCGCAATCCTCCCCCTCAGCATCTGTCACTGTTGCTGTGCAGGCCAGCAGAGGCAAAGGGAATTGAGGGACCTTGTGCGCAATTCTAGCTGCTGCTCCTGTACAAATCTACTGGCAGCATCAGCATTGTGAGGCTGCACCCTTTGGCTAATGCTTGTGAAGGCCAGGTCACTCCTGTGCTGCAGAAGTGAGGTGCCTGTTATGGCTGCGCCTGCCAGGCCAGCGCTGTCCTTCATGCAGCGTGCCATGTCACATGAGCCTCTTGGCTACAGCAGGGATTGCAGATACTGCTGCAATAGCTGAGGTTGTAATGCGCTCTCCAGCACAATGCTGCTACTGCAATGACAATGCCATGCAAGGACATGTACCTGCCTGGGAGCTGCTGGCGCTACACAGTGTGGGCGCTAGCAAACAACATAGAAGCAGGAACAGGAGTGTTCTTGCTGCCTCCCTGCGCCAGCAAGATGCAGCAGTCTTGGGCAATCTTGGCTCCAACCCTATTCAAGCATATCTCCAACTCTGGCCTCAGCCTGGCCAATTATGCTGCACTCTACCTGCTCTTTGGCATTGAAGCCAATATTGCTGCTAACATCTGCACTGCACTTCAGTTCCAACTGCACATCATGGCATCAACTAGCAAGGCTGAGTGTGCTGCAGCAAGCAAGACCCAAGACAGAGCTGCAATGGTCTTGGTCTGTGTCCATCTGCTTGACTGATCCTCACTGATCTTTCTGGCGCACTCTCTGCCCCACCAGCGTGCGCTCCCATTCAAGACTCAAGCATGTCACAAACAATCAGCATTGCTCAACATGTGCAGCACCACATGCTGAACGCATCTGACCGTCGATTGTCTGTCGCCGGTCATGTACGCAACCGCCGGCGGCATCAGCATCGCTCTTTGGTGGGTTGGGGGCTGTGGCGCGGCCGCAAGCAAAAAGAATCTCTCTGGCCGGGAATCGAACCCGGGTCTGGACCGCCGAAGCGATGGACATGCCGTAATGACAAGGTCCCGTCATAACCCCTAAACTACCAAAGACCGGATATCTGTGGCTCCGGCCGCCAAGTACAAGAGCTATCGGGCGAAGTTCCGGCCAGCGCGGCGCGGAGCGGCCCGCCGACTCGATCTGTGCCGCGCACGCGTGCTCTGCATCTCACCACCACTTCCTCTCTGCTTCCACTCCCTCGACGCTGCTGCGCCTCTCTCTCTCGCACGCAGCTAGCTTGCTGCGTGCAAATTGATGGATGTACGGAGCGTTACAGTGCGCGGCTGGGAGTGAGGGCTGGGAAGGGATGCGCGGCGAAGGAAGAGGTGCGTGATGGCCTGGACGAGGCGGCTCCTAGCGGCGGCGGGTGGGGCGCGGGGTGTGGTTACCAAAGACGTTGGCGGAGCGCATCAGGTTGATGCCCGCCGGCCGGCTCTCGTACCAGCGGCGGTGCTCTGGCGAGCCGGTCAGCATGCCGCTCGGCGTCGCCACCCGGTTGCCCTGCAGAAGATAAGTCTTGAAGGGCATGTCCGGATCCTTCTTGAGGGCCTCCTCAGTTGCACGCTTCGTCTTCTCCGAGTTGCGCGTGCTGTGCTCCTCCTTGGACATCTTTGCGTGCCGTCCAGCAACGAGAGAGCCGTCGACCGCACGGTGCAGCTGCTGCAGCTGCGCCACCAGTGGAGCGGGATCGGCGAGCGGCCCGTCGAGCGGAGCGGGGTTGTAGAAGAAATCGAGCGCGAGGAAGTAGAAGAGGTTGGCGCGGACTTCTGCCAGCTGCGGCTGGTACTTGACGCTGCCGGTGTGGATGCTGACGAGCAGGTTGATCTCGGTGCCAAGCCCCGGCTGGCTCAGCTGCTGCCAGCCCACCTTCTCGAGGAAGCCGCGACGGAAGCTGGCCTGCGCATCCTCGAGTTCGCCACGGCAGAGGTCCGGACCGGCGCTCATGAGCAGCTGGGTTTGCGACGCCGTGAGCGGAGCGCCGAGGAGCTCCTCCAGCGAGACGTCTCCAAGAAGGGAGCAAGCTGCTTGCAGCAGCTGCGGCAGCACTGCGAGGAAGGCAAAGGCGTCTGCGCCGTCGACCTTGATGCGCGGGGAGCTGGAGCCGGAGCCGGAGCCGGAGCCGGAGCCGAAGCCAGCAGCGCGCAGGAACTGAGCGAGTAGCACCGCGTAGAACAGGTTCAGCTCTTTGCCCCGATTACTGAGGGACCAGACGTCGATGGAGACGGCATTCTTGAGGCTGCGGCCGCTGCGCGCCTGCAGGCTGTCGTAGATGTCGCGACCGAGCCTAGGCCCAGGGCCGGCGGCGTCGCTGAAGTAGGAGACGCGGCTGTCTTGCAGCGCCTCGAGAGTAATGTCGGCACCGATGATAATGCCGCCGCTGGCGGGCCCCTCTGCAGCCTCGAGGAGATGAGCAAAGCTCGCGTCGTTGATGATGACGAGGCTGCCGGGCAGCAGGTGCTGGTGCTGCAGAAGCAGGCCGCGAGCGCGCTTGAGGATGGCGTGCGGCGTCATCTCCGAGCTGCAGCTGAGCGACGGCGCTGCTTGGCGGAAAGGTGTCATGGATCGAACAGACGCAGCAAGGGCGGGGGGCGGCGCAAAGACGTAGTGGAAGCCACCGGGCGCATTGTTAGCCGTCACGCTGCCGCCGGAGCCTCCGAGGATAGAGATGAGCACCGCCTCGCACTCCTGCCAAGGGGAGCGGTTAATCACCGCCATGCAGGGCAAAGAGCGCAAGGAACGCACCTGTGCGCAGCGACTGGCCCGCCAGTCCATGAGAGTAGCAGCACCATCATCTACTCCGGCTAGCTCAAAGACGTCAAACTGCAGCACCTTGCTCCACTGCTGCACGCGGCGACTGCTGCCCTTCTCGTCCTCCTCTGCGCGGAGCAGCGCGGCAGCAGGCGCGTCGCGATGAGTCGTCCCGCCGTACTTTAGGAAAGGCGAGGAGCCGGCTGTGCCGGAGGACGCCGCGGCACTCAGTGCTGTGCACAGGCAGTCGACGTGCTGCCGCTCCGCGGGCGTGTCGGAGAGTAGCTGAGGCTCAAAGGTGTCTAGCGCCGCGCCAGAAAGCGGCGCCTGGCGAACGTAGAGATGGCTGCTATTCTGGCCCGCCGCCGCCGGGATGCAAAAGGCGGGGACGCTGTGCAGGTCAACGAGCAGCGGCTCGAAGAGGAGCTTGGCCACGTCCTGGAAGTTGCTGATGTGCACGACGCGCGCCACTGCATCGATTGAGCTCTGGCGCTGCTGGCCATGCGGGCAGTGAATTGCTAGGACTGCGGCACGCACGCTCTCGAGAGTGAGAGTAATGCTGCGGAGCGCACCAAGCGCGGCTGCCCGGGCTGCTGCCGCACGCTCGACGTGCTCGACGCCAGCCTGCGCCTCCTCACGCGCATTCTTGCGCTTGGCGATGCGGTCGTCGAGCCTGGCCGCCGTAGCGGGATTATTCTCGCGGCGGCGGGCAATAGCCGCAGCGTTATCGATGGCGCCAAGGACGGTGCGCGACGGCGCAGACGGCATGCCGGGCGGAGCAGGCGGCGCGCGGCTGCTGCTGCCTGCCGACGCCCTGGCCATGGCTTCCGAGGCCGGCCCGAGGCCAGGGGCCATGCGTGCGGTGCGCGAGGCCGCAGACGCCATGCCGGGAGGAGCAGGCGCAGGCGCCGTTCTGCTGCCGCCGCCGGGAGGAGCAGGCGCCGGCGCCGTTCCGCTGCCGCCGCCGGGAGGAGCAGGCGGACGCGCCGTTCCGCTGCCGCCGCCGAGAGGAGCAGGCGCACGCGCCGCGCTGCCGCTGCTGCCGCCCGCAGGCTCAGCAACAACATCGCCGGCTGCAGGCTGACGGCGCAGCAGGTCGAGGATCGTCGGGCGCGGCATGGCGGATGCGTGCGAGCGGCGGCGATGCAGCGATGCAGAGGAGTGCGCGCGCGAGAGGCGAGTGCGGCGGTGATGCAGCGATGCAGAGAGGACGCAGCGCTGCGGAGGAGTGCGGGTGCAACGCAGCGACGCACGCCAGCGATGCAGAGGAGTGCGGCGATGCAGCGACGCAGGGACGACGCAGCGATGCGGAAGACGGAGTTGCGAGGGCAGAAGCGTGCTCGCTGGCCGCACCCCTTGCCAGCTGGGCGGCGGTGCGGCATGCGAGAGCCCGCCCCCGCGGCGTCGTGCAGCAGCCCTCGCCGCTTGGCCGCGTCGCGCAGCGCCTCACGCCTCTCGCTGCACTGCGCATTCTCCTCCCCTGCTGCAGCCCTGCGGCTGATGCCGGTGCTGTCGGCGTCAACACGTGCCGCCGGCGCCCACCGCTGCCTCTGCCGCTGCGCAACCCTCTGCTCTCGCCCCGCCGAGCGCGCTCAATGCTCACCGTAGGCGCCTGCGCGCTGCTTCCCGGACCGCTGCTGCCGCCTCTCCTTCCGTCTTCGGCCCAGCCTGCCTGCCGCTGCTGCCCCTCCTTCAGCCCAGCCTGCGCTGCCGCCCCTCCTCCAGCCCAGCCTGCGCTGCTGCCTCTCCTTCAGCCCAGCGTGCAGCCTGCCCATCTCGCGCGCCAGCGACGCCCGCCGCCCGCCGTGCGCCTGCTGCTGCTGCTGCTGCTGCTGCTGCTGCTGCTGCCCTGCTGCGGCACCCGCATGGGCTGAATGCCGCCGCTCGCCGTGCACCTGCTGCTGCTGCGGCGGCGGCGCCTGCCACCCGCTGTCCGCCTCGCCGCTGTTGCTTATGCTGCTGCTGCTGCTGCTGCTGCTGACGCTGCGGCGGCGGCTGGATTCGGCGGCGATGATTGTCCTGCTGCTGTGCGCGCCTGCCTGTTGCGCTTGACGACGCCGGCGCTCGGGCTCTCGCGCTGCGCGAGCGCATCGGGATGGTGGCATGGTGCGCAAGGTCGCTCCGTCAGGGGCACGATGTTGACGCGGCGCGCGGCGCCACGCGCGGCACGCCGCACGACTGCACGTGACGCGGGCTGCCCGAGTCCCGCCGCGACATGCGCCGCGCGCAGAGCCCGCTACGCCCTCCGCGAGCTGCAACTGGCGGCTGGGCGGCGGCACGGGGCGGACAGCAGACCGCTGGATCTGCGCCTGGTCCGGATCAGCCTCTTCGCCAGCGCCCGCCAGCGCCCGGCCCCAGTGCAGAAGCCGCGGCGCGGCTTGAGCGACGCCGTAGGCCGCGGAGCGGCTCGAGCGACGCCATGGGCCGCAGCGCGGCTTGTGTGCGCGCGTTGGCCGCGCCGCAGGCCGACGGCACGGGGGGGCAAACTAACGCCTTCCCCTCAGCTTGCCGCTCTGCCTTGACCCGTCTGCAGCTCAGCGCTCGACACAGCGCTCCAGAGCGCGAATGTGAGAGCGGGCGGCGCGCCTCGCATAGCTCAGAGCCGCGTGGATGAGCATGCTCGTGCGATGCTGCCCGTCGCCGCCTCTCGTGCTCCCTGCGCGCTTGCAGGGCAGCTCGGCTCCGCATTGTTGCCGCTTACCGACACCAGGGCACCACTTGCGGCGACGCCTCAGCACACCGCCCCTCCGCGCCGCTTTGTCTGCTACGCTGCATTCCACGTCACAGCCGCGAGCGCGACGGCTCCGCCTGCTGCCACGTCGGCACGCGCTGCCGCACCATGCGCAGCGCCGTCGCGACCCAGTGCCGCGTCGCCGCGGGGTCGATGACGGCGTCGATCTCCATCTTGGCCGCGACGTTGACCGCGGCGCCGCGCTCGTACGACGCAGCGACGAGTCTGGCCGGGTGTGAGCGACGCACGTGTCTGACGTCTCGCAACTCACTTGTTGAAGAGCTCCTGCCGCTCCTCCTCCGACTTGGCCGCCTCGAGCTCCTTACGGAAGCCAAGACGCACCGCACCTGCGTGGCATAGTCAGCGCGGCAAGCCTCGCCATCGCTGTCCTCTCCCTCACTCACCCTCGACGCCCATCGGCCCCCACTCGCCATTCGGCCACGACACGCTGCTGTGGTTGCTCAGGCTGCCGCCGCCGAGCAGCCCCTGCGCGCCGAGGCCAAACGCCTTGCGCAGCGTGACTGCAGAGGGTCAGCGTATGCGAAACAGGGCCTTCGCACCACTCACTGGCAAAGATGCGGCCGCCGCCGTCTGTCAGCGACGACATCGCCGCAAAGAGCTCCGGGAACGCGCGCAGGCCGCCTTCGCCCTCCGTCTCGGGCCCGCCGACGATGAAGCCCGGCGTATCGACGAGGACAACAAGATGCGCACACTGCGTCCGCGCCAGCAGCTGCACGAAGCGCGTCGCCTTGCGCGCCGAGGCCGCCTCGATGGCGCCGCCGAGCGGCGAGGCCACCGACGAGGCGACGACACCGAGCGGCTGGCCCTCGACGCGCAGGAAGCCCGTGATGAGGTTCTTGCCCCATGCCTCGCCGATCTCGCAGAACGTGTCGTCGTCGGCGAGCAGGCCGATGACCTCGCGCACGTCGTAGGCGCGCAGCCGCGATTCGGGCAGCACGTGGCGCATGCGCCGCTGGTCGGAGGTGTGCTTCCAGTGGGCAGCGGGCAGCGGGCCCTGGAAGTAGCCCAAGAGCTTCTTCGTCAACGTCGCGGCCTCGCGGTCCGTCGGCACAACGATGTCTCTGTGCGACGAGTCAGCCAGGGCTAGCATCTCTTCGCGAGTCACTCACACAGAGCCGCTCTCCGCGTGCACAAGCGGCGGCCCAATGTCGTACGGCTGATTCGCAGTCAGCACTAGTCGCTTCACTTCACGCCGCACTCACCTTGTACACGCCGAGCCCGCCGCCCTCGATCATCGCCGGGCCGCCCATGCCAATGCTCGTTGGAAGCCGCTTGGGCGCGCCCTCGACGCCGCCGAGCGAGGCGATGACAATGTCGCACGTGCCGAGGAGCGCAGCGTTGCCCGCAAAGACGTAGCCAGCGGCAATTCCGACTCGTGGTACAAGTCAGCAGATGACAGAAGGTGTCTCGTTGCGCCACTCACTGGTTGGCAAGCCACGGGCACGGATCATTGCCATGAGTGTAAAGGCCGGCCCCTCGAGACCTGCAGCGGCACGTCAGATGGTGCGAGATCAGAGTAGGCCTGTCAGGCACGCACCGCCTGCCTTGAGCGGCGCCAGATCGACATCGCCAGGTCTGCCACCGCCGCCCTCGGCGTACATGATGAGAGGCTGGGGTTTGGCAAGTCAGCTCTGCCGCACCTCAAGACACGCTCCGTCTGCTCACCGCAGGATTCTCGAGCACGGAGCGGAACAGGCGATCTGTGAAGCCGTCAGGCAGTACCGCAGAAGAGCTCAACGCGTGACGCACCAAGCTTGAGGTGGTGGAAGTAGCCCTGCGTGCCTGCGAGCACCTGTGCGTCGCCGAGAAACAGGGCACAGCGGGCGCGCGACTCGGCGCCCGGCCGTGACGGACCTTGCTCAAACAGCCCAGCATTCACAGTTGCCCACGCCGTCCTATCACCAGTCAGCACAGTCCACACAGCGCCCACGCCGACACTCACAAGATGCCGTCGCCCTGCGTGTTCGCCAGGAGCTTCTCCTCCGAGATACGCGTCCGCTGTGCCGCCAGCGCCAGCGCGCCAATCTCAATGACCGAGCCCTGATCAGCGAGAAGCGCCAGATTCTCGCGCGCAGTGAGGAAGCCAGCATCGTGTCTCCGCTTGACGGCGCTGGTCATCGACTCGGGTGACGCCAGGCGCTGCCGGTCAAAGAATTGCTGCAGCTTCGGCGGGATGTGGTCCAGGTCGAGCTGCTTCTTGGCCGCCGCAGCGGCGCGCGACGAGCCCGCGAGCGGCGCAAAGAAGAGCAGCGGCGAGGACGCCTGTACGGCATCGCCCTGCTGCGTGCAGATCTGCTCGATGCGCCCGGCGCGCGATGCCGTCACGACGTGCTCCATCTTGAGCGCCTCGATGACAGCCACCTGCTCACCCTCGCCGACCTCCTGGCCGACCTGGACGCTGATGGCCGTGACGATGCCAGAGAGGGGCAGCGCGAGCGCCTCAGTGCCCGGCGGTGCCTGCTGATGCTTGGCCTGAGCTGCGGCCGGAGCGGGAGCCTTCTTCTCGCCGGACGTGCGCTTTGCCTTTCGCCGTGAAGCATCCTGAAAGAGCTCCGCCCAGTGCTGCTCGACAAATGCCGTGTGCACGCGATTCTTCCCAACGGCTGGGTGGTCGAGAAGCGCTGCTTGAAAGTCGAGATTGCTCTCACAGCCTTCGAGCACAAACGCGGCCAGGCTGCGGCGTGCCAGCGCCAGCACTGCAGGGAAGCTCGGCGCCGTGACGATGACCTTGGCCATGAGCGAGTCAAACGCCGGGCTGGCGCTGTACACGACACCGCCGTGCGGCGCGTGCGCAGCCGTGTCGACGCGGATGCCGGGTCCGGCGGGAGGGGCAAAGGCCGTCACGGCGCCGACGGCGGGCAGCGCCTCGCCCTTTTCAGTGAGCGTCTCCGAGTTGATGCGCAGCTGCACGGCAGAGAGCAGTGGAAACGGTAGCGGCGCGGCAGCCTCACCAAGGCCCATATCCCGCAGGCGCTCGCCGAGCGCGATGCGCAGCTGCAGTGCCACAAGGTCGAGATGCGTGACCTGCTCCGTCACCGTGTGTTCAACCTGGATGCGCGGGTTGGCCTCCATGAAGAAGTGCTCGCCGCTGTCGGGCAGACACAGAAACTCGAACGTGCCGAGCGACTTGTACTTGCCCACCGACGCCATGCGCAGCGCCGAGGCCAGCAGGCGCTGCCGCAGCGGCGATGCTGAGCCGCCGGACAGACTTGGCGCCGGCGCAAACTCGACGAGCTTCTGATGCTTGCGCTGCAGGCTGAGGCAGAGGTCTGAGCTTACCCACTATGTAGCACGCGCAGCGCAGTCGCCTCACCTGCACTCGCGCTCCCACAGATGCGCCACGTCGCCACTGCCGTCGCCAATCACTTGCACCTGCGAGGCGCTTCAGCCCGCAGCACAGGGCTCATGCATCACTTGACTCACCTCGATGTGCCGCGCATTCTCCAGGTAGCGCTCGGCATACAGCCGGGCGTCGCCAAACGCCGCGCCCGCCTCGCGCGCGCAGCTCTCGTAGGCGCGCGAGAGGGCCGCCTCACCGTCGTCGACGGGCACAACGCGCATGCCGCGCCCACCGCCGCCGGCAACGGCCTTGATCATGACCTTTGCGCCGCGCGGCAGCGTCTGTGCAAAAGCGCGCACCTGCTCGAGCGACGCGGCGTCGCCAGCAGTGCCGGGCAGCGTGGGCACGCTGCACTCGGCCGCCAGGCGCCGCGCACTCGTCTTCTCACCGAAGCGCGCCAGGTGCGCCGGGTCCGGGCCGATCCACACGAGGCCGGCAGCCTGCACGGCCTGCGCAAAGGCGGGCGACTCGGAGAGGAAGCCGTAGCCCGGGTGCACACCCCAGGCAGACGCGCCCTTGGCGGCCGCGACGAGCGCCTCGGCGTCGAGGTAGGCACGCACGCCGGCGGCATGGAGCAGCGTGCGGTGCGCTGGCGGCACGGCGAGCATGTGCGCTGCGTCTGCCTCGCCGGCCGAGGCGACGGCGAGCGCATGGAAGGCCGTCTGTGCCGACGGCTGCGCGCTGCCGGGCAGCGGGAAGAGGGCGCAGGTGCTGGCGACGCGCAGCGCAATCTCGCCGCGGTTGGCGATGAAGACGCCTGCAGAGATCAGCACAGGGCCACGTGCTGCGTGCGGTGGGGCTCACTCACCCTTGCTCATGGCGGCGGGCGTGGTGAGGGTGGGAAGGAGGCGCGCGTGTCGGAGCATCGCAGCCCGCCTTCCCCGCACTCGCGCGCTGTTCCCACGCCGAGCTGCCACGCTCCGGCTCGCCCGGCGCCCGGCAGCCGGCGCGCCTGCGCAGAGCCGCGGAATCGGGAGGCGGACAGCACCAATCTTGCTCCTCCGAGTCCCACACCTCGGCATGCGCAGTTCGATAGCAAGGCCCCTGCTCGGCTCGTGCATTCCGAGCTTCTGCTGCGCACAGTGAGGTGCCGAGCCGCGGCGCTGGCGGTGCGAGGTGCCAAGGCGGATGGCGGAGGATGCGTGTGAAAAGAGCGAAAGCGAGACGCGCTGCCCCCAAACTTGAAGTGGAGGCGCCTCTGGACGAGGCGAGGCGAGGGGCCTTGCAAGCGAGGAAGTGTAGTTGCAGGGGTTGCTGTAGCGTGTATGCTGGCGATGCTGGCAGACAGAGGCAGGGGCAAGTGCATCATGTCCGGGCTTGGCCATGGACAGGCGGGCGATCAGGTGTGGCGCATGCCGAGATCCGCAGGTCTGGCGCCGAGATCTGCATCCGCAGCGCCGGGTAATCACGAGCCGGCGATGGACGGTCCCGCTGCCCGCTCGCCTGGGCCACATTTCACAGCTGCAGCTGGCGTGGGCACATCTCTCCCAACTACCACCACCGCCATGTTCGCCTCGCCGCACCCTGCGCTGCACCTGCCGCAGTGTGCGCTGCCCGCGCTGCTGCTGGCGCCCGCCGCACCGGACGCCTCGCTCGCACCCGGCACCGACGCCGCGCGCCTCGAGGCGCCGCTCTTCTTCCCGCCGCCGGCGGCCTCCGACGCGGCCACGCGGCCACAGGCGCATCCGCTGAGCGTGCGCCAGCTGGCACGCGATGCATATGCCGTTGCCGCCGCGCTGCTCGACGAGCAGGCGATGCGCGACGCCGGCGGGCCGCTGCGCCGCGGCGACGTCGTGGCGCTCTTCTCGGGCAACCAGGTGAGCAGCAGCGCGTTGCAGCAAGTGGCCGCTGCTGATCTCCGTCACAGCACGACTATCTGCTCGTCGTGCTCGCCATCCAGCTGGCCGGCGGCGTGCCCGCGCTGTGCAATCCGGCGTACACGGCGCGCGAGCTGGCGCACCAGCTGCGCATGGTGCAGGCGCGTGCCGTGTTCGCCTCGTCGATCGCGCCGCCGGGCAAGAGCTCGCCGCTCGACGTCGCACGCAACGCCACAGCACTGGCGCGCGACGCCGGCCAGGACGGCGCCGGCTTCGAGGCGCTGGCGCACGACGTGGCGCTGTGGGCGTGGGAGGAGGAGCGGCCCGACAGCTGGCTCGCCTCGCTGCTGCCGCGCGGCCGCGAGCTGGGCGAGGCGGGCAAGGCGGCGGTGCAGCAGCGCGCCGCCGAGGTGCAGCCGCAGGACACGGCCGTGCTGTGCTTCAGGTGAGCCAGACGGTGTTCTTCATTGTCAGCAGCTCACGTTGCCGCAGCTCTGGCACGTCCGGCACGCCAAAGGCCGTGTGCCTGCCGCACTCGGCGCTCGTGGCCAACACCATCCAGGCGTCGTTCCTGCTGCACGACCGCATGAACAAGCCGCTGCTCGACGGGCGCAAGGAGCATCCCGAGGGCAAGGGCTGGTACGACACGGCGGGGCAGGGCACGAGCAAGGGCTCGCTGCTCGGGCGCGTCAAGCGCCGCCTCTCGCTCGGCGCCGAGGGCCTCGAGTCGAAGAACCGCGGGCGGCCCGAGTTCCACCAGGACGTGCTGCCGCAGTTCCACTGCTACGGCCTGCTCGTCACGTTTGTTGCGCTGCACACGGTGCGTTGCCGAGGTACGCACTTCCGTGGCGCCACGCTCACCTCTCTGTCCAGGCCACGCCGCGCGTCGTGCTGCCGCGCTTCGACCTGCGCACCTTTCTCTCCGTCGTGCAGGAGCGCAAGGTGACGTTTGCCTTCATCGTGCCGCCGATCCTGCTCGCGCTCGCCAAGTCGCCGCTCATCGACGAGTACGACATCTCAAGTCTCTGGCGCGTCGCCAGCGGCGCCGCGTCGCTCGCCGACGAGCTGGCGCAGAAGGTGTATCGGCGGCTCGGCATCCGCGCCACGGACGGTGAGCAGCGGCGTGGCGCCTGCAGCACAGCAGGCTGACCCGTTTCGCCGCGCACAGGATACGGCATGACCGAGAGTGAGCACCCTGCCGTTCGGGCATGTCCTGCTTGACTGACGCGCCGCAGTGAGCCCCATCATCTGCATGCAGACGCTCGCCGACATCAAGGTCGCCCCAGGCAGCGTCGGCGTGCTGGCGCCAAACACCAGGGCCAAGGTCATCGGCCCGGAAGGCCAGGGTGAGCGGCCGCAGATCATGCTGCTTCTGGCGCCGCTGACACCTCTGCAGAGCTGTCGTACGAGCAAGAAGGCGAGCTGCTGCTGCAGGGCCCGCAGATGATGTCGGGCTACCTGCACAACGCCGCCGCCAACGCCGAGGCCTTCTTTCCCTCGCCCGAGGCGACGCCCGAGGCGCGCTGGCTGCGCACGGGCGACATTGTGCGCATCAGCAGGGCCGGCTACGTCACCATCACCGACCGGCAGAAGGACGTCATCAAGGCCAAGGGCTTCCAGGTGTCGCCCGCGGAGCTGGAGGGTGAGTCCAGCCACGAGGCACGTCGCGCTGGCGCTCACACAGCTCCCCGCAGCGCTGCTCTTCCGCGACGACTCGATCGCAGACGTGGCCGTCGTGGGCGTGCGCGACCCCAAGGATGACAGCGAGCTTGTGTGGGCGTTTGTCGTGCCCAAGAGCAAGCCGGCCGACGAGAAGGCCGCGGCCGAGCAGATCATGCAGCGCGTCAACTCCGACGTGGCCGGCTACAAGCGCATCAAGGGCGTCACCTTCATCGAGGAGGTGCCCAAGAGCGCCGCGGGCAAGGTGCTCAAGCGCGAGCTGCGCGAAAAGGCCAAGCCATGAGATCTCTCGCCGTGACGCTCCCGCATACCCCCCTGTATCCTTATGCTCCGCTGCCCTAATGTGCTACTGCCTGGATTGCCCATCTCACTCCTGAATGTCGAGCTCCGAGCGCATGCTCTCGGCGAACGGCTTGTCCGCCACCGTCAGGCTGGAGCGATCGCGCGCCTGGCGCAGACGAGCTGCGCGGTACGCCAGCTGTGCGATGTCCTTGGCGACGATGCAGAGGCCGGCGCCAATGGCGCTGCGCAGCCACACTGCATCCTCCTCCTGCCAGGCCGGCGTCGGCGCGGGCTCGGGCGCGACGGCGGCACGCGCACGCGAGTTGAGCTGGCTCCAGGACCAGCTGCTGTCGGCTGTCGGCTGAGGCGCAGCTGCGGTGGCGGCGGCGCTGCTGTCCGAGCCACCATAGAAGAGCGAGGCGAACGGCGAGCGGCGCGGCGCCGTGCTGCTTGCGGACGGCGTGCCGGCGAACGAAGGTGGAGAGATGGGCGAGCCGGGGCGCATGCCGAGGATGCGCAGCATAATCGACGAGCCCGAGCGGCGCGCCAGCATCGCCAGCACACTGCCGACCGCGGAGCCGACAAAGGGCAGCGCCAGCGCTCCCAGAACCAGGCGGCCCAGGCTCGACGGCGTCACGTAGATGAGGCGCCGGTCCGCCGCGCGCGCTGCGTCGGCGCCATGTGCGGCGTCGGCGCCTGCAGCGATCTCGTCTTCCTCATCGTCGTCGTCCTCGGGCAGGCCTTCGGGTCGGCGGCCGAGGTCGTCGATCGCAGCCACGCCCGCCGGAACAGGGCGCGGCAGGCCGTCCCTGCCGATGCCCACATCACGCACGCCGTCTTGACCCGGCACATCGACCATCGGCTGGCCGTCGGTGAGCACAATCTCGCGGATGCGGCGACGCGGCTGGTCGCCGATAGCTGCAGGCGCCCGCGGCCGGCGCGCGTGCGGCGCCAAGACCCAGCGCGTGACGCGTAGCTTGAGCTCCAGATAGAGTAGGCGGATCCAGGGCAGCGCGACGAGCTGCAGAAGGTGTCAGCAGCGAAAGGGCGGCACTTTCTATCCGACTCACCGTCACACTCGGCGGCAGCGGCCACCACGAGCCGTGGGCGCGGAACGGGTTGTTGCGCGCCTCGAACTGCGCAAACTGCGCGCGCTGCACGCGGCTCATGCGCGAGAAGGCGCCGACGCCGCGCAGCGGCAGGTACGTGAAGAGCTGTGGGAAGTGCATCGAGATGAAGTACGAGAGGAGCGCGGGCATGCCGCGCGTCTCGACGCGGGCGACGATGAGCGCGACGGGGATTAGAGGAATGTCAAAGTAGTACTGGACACAGCGTGTCAGATCTGACGCATCACTGGCACAGCGCACCACTCACGTGCCACGGCCACTTGCGGTCGAGCATGCGCCGCGCAGCGCTCTGCCCGGCAAAGACGCGGATCGCCGCACAGCCGTACGCCGTGCCGGCGACGAGCAGCGCCGAGCCGGCACTGGCGGCGGCGAGGATCGGCAGCGCGCGCTGCGTGAGCGCCTCGAGACGCTGCCCGAGCGCCAGGACGACGCTGCGCCGCTCGTGCAGCTCGTACGGCTGCACGCACTGCGGACAGCGCACGGGCGCCTTGCGTGCCTGCGAGTGGCGCACCCAGCGGCGCAGGCATGCCTCGTGCGCGATGAGCGAGCAGCCGCAGGGGTGGATCCAGCGGCGGCGGCGGGTGCGCGCTTGCGGCTGCTGCGTGGGCGTGCCGGCTGTCGGCGTCGAGCCGCCGCTGGAGCTGGGCGTCGCGGCCACGCCGTCCTCGGCGTCGCCCTCGCTGCAGATCCAGCAGACGCGGTTGCGCAGCTGCGACACGCGCACTGGCCCGCGCGGCGCAGGTGCAGCGGCAGTGGACGGCGCAGCAGGCGCCGCGCTGCTGCTGCCGGCGACGGCGGGAGAGGCCGGCGGCGATGGAAGCAGGTCGGCGACGAGTGCAGCGGATGCCGGCTCGGCCTGCGCGGCGGGCTCCGCAGCAGCAGCAGCGGCCGGCGGCGGCGCGCCCTCCTCGCTGCCGGCCTCGCCCTGGTGGCGGCGGCGGTACGCGGCGAGCTGTGCGGCGGCGCTGTCGGGTGCGGCGGACGACATGGCGGCCGATGGGTGGACGTGGAGGTGAAGTAAGCTGCGGCCGTGCGCCTGGCACAAGACAAGTCACGCGCGCAGCAGCACCCCGCATCGTGTTCCCACGCTCCGCTTGCGCAATCACGCCGTGCTCGCCTGCGTCACACGAGCAGCGTGCGATGCTAGACTGGGCACTGGCTGGCGCCGCGGCGCACTCAGTCAGGCAGATGGAAGGCATTGGAGTCATTGCAGGGCGCAGCAGGAAGCGCCGCAGAGCAGGGAGATCGGCGCGCCAGGGATGCAGCGGCGCGCGCACAGGGGGGAATCAAGGAGGCAAGGGAGACGGGCGCGCGCGCAGAGGGAGCGCACGCAGAGATGGAAGCAAGGAGAGTGGGGTGGGGCAGACGGCGTTGTGGTACCCCGGAGCGGACGCAGGCCTGCTGTGGCTACGACGAGTCCGCCTCGCTGCCGGCGGCGGCACGGTTCGGCAGCAGGCCGCGCAGCGCATCGAGCGGGCCGCGCTGCAGCACCGGGTTGTACGGCGGCGCACCCGACGTCTGGTTCGCCGCCGCGTGGGCCGCTGCCTGCGCCGCGGCGTCGGCGTTGGCCTGCGCCTGCGCCGGCGTGGCGCCGCCGGGCGGAGGCATGCCGTCGCCGTACGCGGCTGCCGCGGCCGCCGCCGCGCCGGCGTAGTACCACGAGCCCGACGCCGAGTCGGCCGGGCTCGAGCTCAGCAGCCCGCTCGAGTCGAGCGGCGTGGCGCCGGGAATGTGCAGCCCGGCGCTCGGCGTGCCGCGCCCGCCGCTGCCGCTGCCGCCGCGCGAGTGCGACGGCCCGACCTCGCCGCTCGGCGCCGTCTGGCTGCGCATCTGCGCGGCGCCGCCGTTCGGCCGCGGGCTGTCGAGCAGGCTGAACGCGCCGTCGCCAAAGCCGCCGTCGAGGCCGGCAAACGCATCGGCACCGCCGAAGGCATCGAGCAGCACGTCGCTGCCCAGCGCGCCGCTGCCGCTGTCGCTGTCCGTGCTGCTCTCGCCGCTCGGCGCGCTGGGCAGCAGCGTGTCGAAGGCGCCGTTGCCCATCGGCTGCGCGTAGCCGAAGCTGAAGACGTCGGGGTTGTGCAGCATGCCGTTGGTGCTGCCGGTGCTGCCAAACGAGTCGTTGACGCTGGGCAAGACGTGTGAGCAAGCAAGTACAGCACCAATGCCCGTCTGGCACACACCTGTTCTCCATCAGGCGCATACGCCGCTCGTTGAGGCTCAGCTGGCTCGCGCCGTCTGCCAGCCCCTCGAGGCCGCTTTCGAGCATCGGCGGCGGCGCGCCTGGCGGACCCATGCCGCCACGCTGGCCCGGGCCCATCGGCGGCGGCGGCGCGCCGAAGCCGCCCATGCCGAGCGCCTGCAGCTGCGCGGCCTGCGCCGGCGTGAGCGAGCTGGCAAAGTGCATCGCGGCGGCGTTGAGCTGCTGCTGGTGCTGCGCGTCTGGCGGCGGCTGCAGCGGCGGCGCGGGGCCGGCGTGCTGCGGCGCCTGCATTGGGAACTGCTGCTGCTGCTGTTGCATCATCTGCTGCATGTGCATGTTCTGCTGGTGCTGCTGCATCGCCTGCTGATGCATCGCCTGCTGGTGCATGGCCTGCTGGTGCATCGCTTGCTGCTGCTGCTGGAGTGCGTCCTGCTGCTGCTGTTGCTGCTGCTGCGTTGGCGCTTGCTGCTGCCCGGCTTGCCCTGCCTGCGACGGCGAGCGAGCATGCGCGGGCGTCATTGGCGCTGGTGCACTGGCGGCTGCCGCTGCCGCTGCCTTGGCATGCTGGTTGGCATGCTGAGCGTGCGCCGAGCTTGGCCCTCGACTCGACACAGGACTGCCACGCCGGCTTGGGGCGCGCGAGGGCGCGCGGCTGGCGGTGCGCGACGTGGCGCCCGAGGCGGCGCCGTCGTGGTGCAGCTTGCTGCTGGCGCTCGCCGTGCGCCCGTGCGTCGTGCCGCTGTTCTTCACGACGGATGCCACGCGGCCCTCCTTCCAGGCGTCCTGCGCCTCCTGCGACAGCGTCCACCACGACCCCTTGCCGGCAGCCGACGAGGGCCGCGGCACCTTGATGAAGAGTGTGCCCTTGATCGAGAGCGTCGACTTGATGCGGTTCTTGACGCGGGCCTGCGTGGAGCGCGTGATGAGGGTGCAATGCGCATAAAGCAGGCGGCCGGTGCACAGCGCGCATCGTGCGCAGCTGGTCTGCGCTGTCTTGCGCTCCACGGCAAGAGTCCCCTTCCCTTTGCCCCTGTCGTCGCACACTCACCTCCCAGTCCTTGCCGAACGCCCATTCGCGGATCTCGGGGAACTTGTTGCACATGCTCTCGAAGAGGTCCTGGATCACGAGGCGCCCGCTCTCGCTCTCTGCGATCGTCTGTGGGAGCGCGGCGTCAGCGGTGCTGCCACACAGCGGGCGAGCCGTGCACCTCGCCGCACGCACCTGGCAGATCATCTCGCTCCAGTTCAGCCGCTTGCCCGTCACGGCACTCGCGGCGACGCGGCTGTTGCTGGCGTGCGGCACTGTGTGCGCCGGCGTCGAGGCGCCCGTGCCCGGGCCTGAGGCGGTGCTGGCGAGCGGTGCCGCCCGGCGCGGCGCGGCAGCGCCCGGACTGCTGGCCGCCGAGCCGGGCATGCTGGCCGCCTGCCACTCGGCGAGCGCCGAGGAGAGGGCGTGCGGGCTGAGGTGCGCCGCCGCCGCAAGCCCGCCGTACGCAGCCGCGTTGGCGGGCGCACTGGCCGTGCCGGGTGCCAGCTCGCCGCCGCCGCCGGCGCTGGCGTAGTGCGAGAGCGCGGCGTTGGCGTAGGCGAGCGCCGGCGGCGCGCCAAACGCGTACGAGCCGTCAAAGGCGTACGCGCCCGACGGCGGCGGCGCGAACGAGTGCTGCGGCAGGCCGAAGCTCGGGTCGAAGGCGTCGGCAAAGGCGAGGCCGGCGGGCGCGCGCATCTGCTGCGAGACCTGCGTCATGCCGAGGCCGGGTGCGCCGAACGCGGCGCTGCCGGCGCTGCGAGCGGCCGACGGCGAGCGGCGCTGGCTGCTGCTGCCGTGCGCCGGCGACGCGCTGCGCGACGGCAGCTGCGTGCTGGGCGCCGACGAGACGCTGCCGCGCGCGGCGGACATGGCGGCGGCGCTGCTGCTGCCCGGCGTGCTCGGCCGGCTGGAGAAGGGCGAGGCGGCGGTGCCGGGCGCGAGGGCGGCCGCGGCAGCGGCAGCGTTGGCGGAGGACGAGGCGTGGGCGAGCGAGGCGTACTCCATCGCGCGCACAGCAGCGCCGGCGGACGGAGACGGGCGCCGCAGAGACCTGGGCCGGGGTACAAGGAGCGGACAGACGCGACGGCGACGGCGACGGCGACGACGAGGATAGCGATGGAGGATGCGGAGAGGAAGCACGGCCGGACGAGAGCGGCGCGACGCCAGCGAGCCAGCGCCAGGCCCGGGTCGGGCGCCGCGCGGCAGCAGGCGGCGAAGGCAGCGCTCGCGGCTGCAGCTTGGCTGCGGGGCCCGGCCAAGCGCTGCGGCGCGGCGCCGGCGAGGCGGATGCGGCCGCGCGCGCGAGGCCGGCGAGCGGCGGCACAGCGGCACAGCGCCGCACAAGCACCGCACAGCCGTCAGCCGCTCAGCCCCCAAAGAGCGGCAGCGAGTCAGTGCGGGGCGGACAGGAGGAAGTGCGGCCGCCTGGGCGGGCACCGCGGCGGGCGCGCCTCCTCTTGACAGCAGGCAGCGCCTCCTCTCCTCGACCCAAGTATAGCAGCCAGGCCTTCGCTGGCCAGGGGCATGTTGCATGAGCCGCACGAGGGCGAGGCGGTGCTGGGCCCTGCAAAGGCAGCAGCGACCGCGGCAGAGCCCCTCCTGCTCTTGCTTTGTGCTGGCCTCGGCGCAGCGCTGCGCCTGGCCATGTGCTGCGCCTGGGAACGGCGTCCTTCTCGCCTCAGCCCCTCTCTCTGGCCCAGCCAGCAGAGTCCATGAGGGCCGATTACAGCCTCATGCAGTCGCAGGGGCGTGCAGCTGCGGCCGCGGCGTGCTTCCTCCGCGGCGCCTCGCCGCTCGGTGGCCGGGCGCCGCTTCCCCCGCGCGCGCCGCCCGATCGCGTGGTGCCTGACGCGCGTCTCGCTCAGCCGCCTTGTCGACGCTCGCTGCGGCAGAGGCGAGCCTGCGCGGCCCCGAGGTGAGCAGCGTTTGGGCTCAAAATACGCAGAAACTCTCTCTGCTATGGTCTGCAGGGCAGACGGTGCTCCAGCTGTCGCGCAAGGGCTGCGTGCTACGGCGAGGAGCTGATGGACTGCGGTGCCTCAGCTGGCGACGCGTATGCCGGGGCGTGCGCCGTGTCACTTCAGTCCAACGCGGTGAGCCTGCTGCTCCGGCTTTTCCTATGCGTGCCGCTGTGCAGCGCCGACGTAACACTGACACTCTGTGACTGCTTGCCATGCGTATGAGGCTGAACGACGTCGTGGTGAGGTTGCGCCGTGCCTTGGAGGTGCGCCGGGCGTGTCAGCAGGCCGCGATGGTCTGATGCGCTGCTGCTCCACATCGCGGCGCCGGCGGCCCGGCGGCGGCGGCGCAGCGTGCGGCGCGAACGTGCGGCGAGCGTTGCGCAGCCTGCTTCCTCTCGTCACCTTCGCACCCGTCGCTGCTCTGCGCACATCCAGCCTCCATCGCCGCGCCCCCGGTGCGCCCCTCTGCCGCCATGCCGCGTGTCCCGCAGCGCTCGCCCACCACGGGCGCCGAGGGTGAGTGGCGCGTGTGCCGGCCGGCCGCGCTGCACCCCACCTTGCCGCTGCACTCACACCCGCCCAGTCCCGCCGCACTACATCCACGCCAGCGACGCCTTCTTCCGCGACACGCACGGCCGCGCCCTGCTCCTCCGCGGCGTCAACCTCAGCGGCTCGAGCAAGGCGCCTGTCGGGCAGCCGAGCCAGAAGCTCGCCGGCTTCTGGGAGCGTGCCGAGGCCGGCGGCGACAGCTTCGTCGGCCAGCCGCTGAACCTCGACGACGGCAGCGCCGACGTGCACCTGGCGCGCCTGCGCGTCTGGGGCTTCAACTGCTTCCGCTACGTCTTTACCTGGGAGGCGCTTGAGCATGCCGGTCCGTGAGTGATAGGAAGATGAAGTGCCGCGGGCAGGCTGGAGGGCACGGCGGCGAGGCGTGCTGGGCAGGGCTGGCAGAGCGAGGTGCGCGGAGTGCCGCTCATGATGCTGCAGTGGAGGCGAGGCCGTGAGCAGACACGTGCCGCAGCGAGAGCACGAGTGAACGTGCTGCCGTTCAGGGTCAGACTCGGCTGGCCAGCTCTGCCGGGTCGTGTCGCAACCTGCGCAGCTGCTGCACGACGGTTGTCCCTTCCAGCTGTGGCGCGTGCATTGCTGCACATCTGCTATCAATGTGCTCACACACCCGCAGCGGCAAGCACGACCACGAGTTCATGGACTACACCGTGCGCGTGCTGCGCAAAATCAAGGAGTATGGCTTCCGCGTGTTCATGGACCCGCACCAGGACCTGGTGAGCGCCGCTGGCTGCACCGCATCGGCCTTTGCTCACCCTCTCGCAGTTCTCGCGCTTCACCGGCGGCTCCGGCGCGCCGTACTGGGTGCTGCGCGCCTGCGGCATGAACCCGCGCAACTTGACCGTCACCGAGGCGGCCTTCCTGCACAGCGAGTGGCCCAGCGCCGACAAGCCCAAGCCCATCGAGTACCCGGACATGCTGTGGGCGAGCAACTACACGCGGCTCGCGGCGGCCACGCTCTCGATCCTCTTCTTTGCCGGCCGCGTGTACGCGCCGCTGTGCGTCATCGACGGCGAGAACATCCAGGACTGGCTGCAGCGCCACTATCTCGCCTCCTGCACCGAGCTGGCGAAGCGCATCCGCGACGCCGGCGACCTATTCGACGAGTGCGTCATTGGCTGGGACTCGATCAACGAGCCGAACCCGACGTACGTCGGCCTCGACGTGCTGGACAAGCTCCCAGAGAAGTGGAAGCTGCGCAAGGGCCCGATGCCGACGCCGGTGCAGAGCATGCGCCTCGGCATCGGCATGAAGCAGACCGTCGAGCACTACATCTTCACGTCGCTCGGCCCGAAGCGCAAGGGCGACGTCGTCGTCGACCCGAAGGGCAAGTCGATCTGGATGACGCGCGAGGAAGATGACGAGGCCGGCGGCAGCAAGTGGGGCTGGACGCGCGGCGAGCAGTGGCCGCTGGGCCGCTGTGTCTGGGCGGCGCACGGCGTGTGGGACGACCGGACGGGCGCGCTGCTGCGCTCCGACTACTTCAAGTGGAACTCGACCGAACCGGGCGCCTCGAAGCACGTCGACTTTGTCGCCGAGTTCTGGCTCGCCCATTGGCGCGCGTACGCGGCGGCGCTCCGGCCAGTGCACCCCGAGGCCATCATGTTCCTGCAGCCGCCGGTCTTCGAGCCGCCGCCGCACGAGCTCACGCACGAGGACCTGCAGTCGCGCGCCTGCGTCTCGTGCCACTTCTACGACGGCCTCACGCTCATCACCAAGCACTGGAACTGGTTCAACGCCGACGCCGTCGGCCTGCTACGCGGCAAGTACTCGGGCATCGCCTTTGCGATCCGCGTTGGGTTCAAGGCGATCCGGCAGTGCATGCGCGACCAGCTCGGCTACCTGCGCCGCGACACGCTCGACGTGCTCGGCCAGTACCCCACGCTCATCGGCGAGATCGGCATTCCGTTTGACCTGGACAACAAGAAGGCGTACTTTGGCGACGGCAAGGGCAACGGAATCGGCGACTACAGCAGCCAGACGGCGGCGCTCGACGCCAGCATCAATGCGTGCGACGGCTCCAACGTGCTCAACTACGCGCTGTGGACGTACTGCACCGACAACACGCATCTGTGGGGCGACGGCTGGAACGGCGAGGACCTGAGCTTGTGGAGCGTCGACGACATCAAGCGTGAAGGGTCGAGCGGCGAGGCCTCGGATGCTGGCTCAAGCAGCACGGGCGCCGGCACGCCGCTTGACACGCTCGCCAAGAGCACCAGCAACCTGCGCCTCACCGGTCTGACGCGCGCGCTCGAGACGTGTCCCGACGTGGTGCCTGTGTCAGCATCGGGCACACGGCCGCGCACGCAGAGCTCCGCCTCGACACTCTCCTCACAGCTCGCCGGCGGATCGACAAGCTCCGCGACGCTGCTGCAGCCCAACGCATCGGCTTCGAGCTCCAACGCCAAGCTTGGCTCTGCCTCGTCCTCACAGGTGCTGCCGCCTTCGGGGCCAGGCGGAGACCTCGCGGCCTCGCATGCGCGGCACGACGCCACCGCAGAAGGCGACGAGGAGGCGCCGCAGCTGGCGCCGACAGACATCGCGTATCTGTCCAACGGCGCGCGCTCATCGACAGCCTTCTGCCGGCCATACCCAGTCGCCACGCTCGGCACGCCGCTCGAGATCAACTTCGACATCAAGACGTCCGAGTTCCGCTTCACGCTCGAAGTCACTGCAGAGGACGTGGCTGGCGCGGCAGGCGACTCTGAAGGCGCACTGCCGACGGAGATCTACGTTCCGTTCCTGCACTACGCGGCCGACGCGGTGGCTGGCGCTGCTGCCGGCGACCTCTTCGACTCGGGCAAGGCTGTGTCGCAAAAGCTGCGCCAGCAGCGCCGACGCGACCTGCGCGTGCCGTCGGTCGGCAGCGGGCACTCGTCCTTCGTCAGCCTGGTGCAGCTGTCGGCGGCAGAGCCTGCGTCGCGCTCCGACGCCACTCTTGCGGCGCCGCCGCAGATGGCCGGCAGCAGCAAGTACGCCGGCGGCGACGCGCTCGGCACAACGGCATCGCAGATGGCCTCGCTCACCAGCAGCGCCGCGGCACGGCGCAAGCTGCTCGCCAACGTGCACCGCGGCGGCACGGCCTCGGCGCCAGGCTCGGGCGCGGCGACGCCGGTGCGCGGAGTGGACGCGGCCGGCTCGCGCGAGAGCACAGCGCCCGAGGCGACGCTCTGCCTCGACGTCGAGGTCTCGGCCGGCAGCTGGGAGGTCGAGGGCCAGTACCTGCGCTGGTACCTGCCCGCCGACGCCGCCGAGGCGGGCATCGACGGCTTCGGCACCGCGACGGGCGCAGCGACGGCGCGCCACGAGATCCGCATCAAGCGCCAGGGCGGGCCCGTGGACCACTCGCGCTCGGCGTCGGCGTGGGACCTCATCACCACAGGCTGCGGCCTGCTCGGCTAGACGCTCGGCGCCATCATCACATGCTTGTATCTCTTACGCCAGTCACGTCCCTCTAGCATTGTACATCCTCATCACGGTGCAGGATCTGAGTGTCTGCAGCGCCTTCGTCTTTGCGCTGCGAAGTGCAGCGCCCACAGCAGGGGGTCTGGAAGACGCATCATTCTGCGAGCGAGGCTAACGGTAAGCAAGGCTGCGTGGCTCCGTCACAGCTGGATCAAGCCCACCGTGACTCGCCTAGCGGTGACTTCCTGCAGGCTCCGAGACTTCGGCCGCGTCCGAGCCGCCGGTCAGGTTCCCTCCTACCTCAGCAGCATATCTGGCGTGCTTGCTCGCGGGCCGCTCCGAGGTGCCTGCCTCTGCGGCGTGCTGAAGCGGCGGGCCTCGCTTCGCCGGCGCGCATCGATCGTCCGCCGCCTCGGACGCGCGGCTGGCGTGGAATGTGGCCGAGGAATGGCTCGGCCGCTGCCGCGCAGCAGCGCCGCCTTCGCTGGCCTGCCGGTCGTAGCTGGTGCCGACGGGCGTCGGAGCTGCGCTAGACTGCAGAGCGCTTGTCCATCCATCGGCAGCAGTGACGGCGCGCTGCTGCTGATGCTGCGGCGGCCACTGCTGCTGGTGCTGCAGCTGCCACTGTTGCTGCTCTTGCTGCTGCCGCCACTGCTGCGGCTCCTGCTGCTCCTGCTGCGAGGCGACGGCTGGCGGCCGCTGCTGCTGCTGCTGCTTGGCCTGCGGGTCGGTGCCCGAGCCCGGCTGCGGCGGCTGCTGTGCCTGCTCCAGCGGCGGCCGTGCGAGGAGCAGCTGGCGCTGCGCGTCGACGAGCTGCAGCAGCGTCGTGTTGAGCTGGCTCTGCTGCTCCTGCACCGTGGCCTTGAGCTGTTCCTGCTGCTCGCGTGCCGCAGCGAGCTCCTGCGTCTGCTGCTGCGTCGTGGCAGTCAAGTGCTCCTGCTTCTGCTGCAGCGTTGTGGTGAACTGCTGCTGCTGCTGCAGGCGGGCGACAAGCTGCTGGCAGTACTGCTGCTGTTGCTGCATCGCCTCGGCATGCAAATTCGACGCAGAGGAGGCGCTGGCTTTGGCGATCCGCAAGTCATCTTCGCGCGCCATGACGTCCGACTCGAGCCTCTGGACCTTGGCCGTCAAGCGTGCGCTCTCAAGCTCGGCGGTGTGCTTCTTGTCGTCGCTCGCCGTGACGGCCGCCTCGAGCCGGAGGATCCTGGCTCTCAGCTCATCGCGCGTCGACGTCATGAGGGAAGCAGAGGCCGCGGATTTGGAGAGCGGGAGAGGGGTCGAGCGGTGCTGCTATGCTGAGAGGTCGTGAAGGAAGGCGCAGGCGCACTCGACTTCCCTTGCGGCTCTCTTCACGCGGCCAGCGAAACGAGACCTGGTGCCGGCGGCGCGCCTCGTGAGAGCGGCGGAGCGACGATAGGAGTCTAGCGCGGGTGCCTGAACCCGAGGTTCCAACTCGAGTTGCACAGGCGCAGCACGAGGGACCTCGGCGGAAAGAACCAAGAGGTGTCAGGCGCGATGCCTCTGCGGCGGGTGAGAGTTTCTGACCGCGCCGAGACCAAGCTTCCGCGCCAAGACGAGAACAAGGTGCAAATTTCAAACAGGAACGTCACGTGCGGTGACGGTGGGGCAGGTGCGGTATGCAGTGGCACAGTGCGCGCGAAGGAAGAAACGAGCAGTGGGAGGGACAACGGTATGCGGTGCGAGCTAGAAACCGGCGGCAGTGCGGGCGGAGTGAGTGTCTTCCTCGGCGTCGCCCATGGCATGCTTCGCTCGCTTGCGCGTAGAGTCGCTGCTGCCACCGTCGACGACGTTGACCAGCGGAGATGGTGCGAAGGGCTTGTGAGCCTCGCCTTGGAGCGAAGCCTCGAGCATCGATGAGGGCACATTGTGCGAGGGAAACGCCCCGTCGCGCTCACGTTTGCGAGGCGCAGGTGCGCTTGTTGGCACCGTCGGGCTGCTTGGCAGCTCGCCCGGCTCCTGCTTGATGTGAACAGGAGAGCCGAGTTGCTTTGGCTGCGACGGCGGCGCAGGCAGCTCGGGCAGGTCGGACGGTGACTCGCGCAGCATGTGGCTGAGTAACGCGTCCGACGATGCCTGCAGTAGCGGCGTCGAGGATGGCACAGCGTGTGCGGGCACCGAGAATGGCCCAGCGTGTGCGGGCATCGAGGATGGCGCAGCGTGTGCATGGGCCTCGGGTGGGACTTCGTAGGGAGGAGTGCAGATAGACTGCTGCTGCTGAGACAGCTGCCGCTGCGCGAGCTGATGCTGCGCGTAGTGCCGTTGTGCGTGCTGCTGCTGAGCGATCTGGATAACTTGCTGCTGCTGAGCATACTGCTGAGCGTACTGCTGAGCGTAGTGCTGCTGAGCATTGCGCTGCTGGGCCAGAGGCGGCTGCTGCTGCTGCTGGAAGGCAAGGTACAGCTGCTGCTGCTGCGCCACGCATGTCGCCTGCAGCTGCGCATACTGCTGCCGCTGGCCGTCGATCTGCTGCTGCTGCGCCAGGCAGAAGGCCTGCAGCTGCTGATGCTGCTGCTGCTGGCTGCCGAGGAGCGCAAGATGCTGCTGCTGGCTCTGCATCATGGCATGCTGACGCTGCTGCTGCGCGGAGGCGTCGGAACGCAGACGGCCGATGATGCTGGCGGCGTTCTTCAGACTTGCTCGCAGCCCTGCGTTGTCCGCCCGGAGCACCTCGGCCGCGTTGCGCACAAGGCCGTGCTCCGTGCGCAGCGCACTGTTCTCGGTGCGCAGAGCGTTCTCCGTGCGCAGCGCCTCGTTCTGCGCCAGAAGCGCGCTGGCAACCTCGTGTAGGCCCTTGATGCTGGCGTCTGGATCCGAGTCAGTCATCGCGCAGACTTGCCGGCGAGAGCGCCGCCGAGATGAGGAGCGCGAGCGGCCAGGTCGAGGGCCGCAGAGTCCCGAGTGCCGAGAGAAGAGACGAGGTGGTGGAGACGAGGCAGGAAGCGAGCACGCGCCGCGGGCGGCACCTAATGGGCATCTATAAGTGTTCTCAGCGCGGCCTGGACCTTCCGTCGTCGCTCAGGGGCATGGGCGGCACGCCAGCAGCACCAGGCCTCCAGAGCGGCAGCCCTGTCCATCCACTTGGCTGCTGCAGCAGCAGCAGCCAGCTGCTCAACAGGCTGGCCCTGCTCTTGCGAGACATGTGCTTACTTTCTCTTTTGCGGCGCTTGACTTGTGCTCCGTCGCGCGCGAGAAGAGTCGCGGTCCTTGCCGGCCAGGGGCAGGCACACAGAGGCGGTGCCGCGCGTGCTGGTGCGGGTGGCCGGCCTGTGGGCGCCGCGCGCGTCGGCCCCTCTGGCGCGCTGCTGACGCTCGCGCTGCGCTCGCCACTGCGCGCACCGCCGCCGCCGAGGGGCTGCGCTCGCCTCAGCTGCGGCAGGACGCTGCGAAAAAGTTGCGAGACGCTCCCTGCTGCCCTTGGGCTGGGAACTGCGGCCATGCGGCTGCACTAGACTGCCTCTGCTGCCACGCCCATGGCATTCGGGGTGCTGCGGCGGGCGCGCTGCAGGAGCGCATCGGGCGCCGCGCGGCGGCCCGAGCGGGCGCGGCACGCCGCCTGTGCCGTGCGCTGGTGCCGCTGCGCCTGCGTCTGCTGCTCATCGTGCGCGTGTCGCAATGTCATCCTCCCGCGCGCCCTCTCGCACACCCCTGAGAGTGAGAGTGCGCCGGCGCAGCAGGAATAAAAGGACAGCTGCTTTGCGCTCGCTGCCCACTTCCCACCACCACACCGCCATCCACCATCTCCCGTCCACCGTCCTCGCACACCATGGCCGCCATCCCCTGCCAGCCGAGCGCCGTGCTCAACAGCAATCTCATCTCGACGCCGCCGTCGCGGCCCGCCTCTCGCAAGGGCTCGCCGAAGCGCGTGCACTCGCACGCCGCCACGGGCTCGCCGCGCGCTCTCTCGCCGCCCGTGCAGCGTCCTCGTCGTGCTGCTCAGCAGGCACTCGGCACGCCGTCCAGCTCCTCGTCTCGCCCCGTGGCGCGCGCCCGCCTGCCGCTGCGCCTGCCGACATATCCGATCGCCGTGCTCTCATCTCCGTACGCCGACTTCACCGCACACCTCCGCGCACATGGGCTTGCACACGAGGCGGCTGAGCTCGGCGGCTGCACGCCCGACTATGTCATGGCGCAGCTGCCCGCTTCTCTCCATGCCGAGACGCTCAGCTTCGAGACGACGCTGCGCCAGCTGGCGGCCCTCGGCGGCGACGTGCCGCCGCACGTCGACTTTCCGCTCGAGAGCAGCGGCAGCATCTCGCACCTCTTCGTCGTGCGCGCCAGCCTCGGCCCGGCGCCCAGCGCCGTCGACCAGAGCATGCCGCCGCCGGCCATGTCGGCGCGCGGCACCTCGACGCGCCCGCACGTCTCGCCGGCGCCTGCCGCTACGTCGCGCGGCCTGCTGCTGCCCGTGCACGGCCTCGTGTATGCGCTCGACTGCGCCACGCTGCCGCCGCTGCCGCCGGCGCACGACGACCGCGGCCGCCTGCCCGTCGTGACGCTGCATGTCCCCGCGCCCGCGACGTTCGGCACCGTGCACCGCTACGTCTACACGCGCGACGCCGCCGCGCTCCTCGCCGAGCTGCTGCCGCTGCGCTTCCTCTCGCGCAACCTCGCCGCCGGCGCCGGTGCTGCCGGTGGCGCCGAGCCGGCCGGTGCTGCGCTCACGGCGCCGCGTGCTCGCGAGCTGCTCGCCAGCCTGCCGACGGCCACGCTGCTCGCCCACGCGCGCACCGTGCACGCGGCATGGGGCAATGCCGGCGCCATCGGCCTGCTCGACGCGCGCTACTGGGCCACGCTCTCGGTGAGTGGCGCGACGTGTGCCGTGTGCGAGTCCACGACTGACGCCGTGTCCGTCTGCAGCGTGCCTGGGACCTTATCGTCGGCGCCATTGCCCTTCGCCGTGCGCGCCGCGTCGACGCCGAGCTGGCGCAGCGCATGGACGCGCACGAGCTGTGATGACGTCTCTTGCTCCCTGTGCGATGTCTCTTGCTCCCTGATCCCGTCTAATATCTCGCCTCGTGGTCGCCCGTCACTCCGCTCTGTCACCCAGCCCTGCCGAGCCGAGTCACCCATCCGCCGAGTCACCGCGTCGCCGCGTTACCCTACCGCCACCTGTACTCTGTCACGATCTCTGCTTCTCTTGAGCAACGACGACTCGTCTATCCATCTGATTGCGACGCAGCGCACCGTCCCACCGGCACATGCCGCGGCCGCCTGCCCGCATGTGCCGCTGCCTGTCCAGCCCGCAGCTCAACGGTAGAGGTGCTCGGAGCGCAGGTTGGCCGCGTACTCGGCCTCGGCGCGGTCGCCGTTGGCCAGCAGCTTCTCCTTGTCTGCGAGGAGACGTCAGCTTGTCGTGCACGATGCGCGGGCCCGCGCAGCACGCACTGTACAGCAGCTCCTCGCGCCACTCCGTCGAGAAGTCGGCGTTCTGCGTCTCGACGATGGCGTCGACGGGGCAGGCCTCGACGCAGTAGCCGCAGTAGATGCACTTGGTCATGTCGATGTCTGCGCAGGTGTGAGTGTGGTGCAGGAGCGAGAAGCACAGGCAGGCTCACCGTAGCGCGTCGTGCGGCGGGCACCGTCCTCGCGCGGCTCGGCCTCAATCGTGATAGCCTGAGCCGGGCAGATGGCCTCGCAGAGCTTGCACGCTGCGCCGCCGTGTCAGCCTCGCAGCACCACACCGCTTCACACCGCCACGCACCGATGCAGCGCTCCTCGCCCGTGGGGTACCGCCGCAGCGCGTGCTCGCCACGGAAGCGCGGCGAGAGCGGGCCCTTCTCGTACGGGTACATGATGGTGTATGGCGGGCGGAAGAAGTTCTCGAGCACGATCCACATGCCTGCGATGCGTGTCAGTAGGCGAATGTAGGCGCTACGCGTGCAGCTCGGCGGATGGCCAGGGTGGTGCGGCAGCTGCGTGCGACCTTATGCATGTGGCCACGGCGACAGCAGCGATGCGACACGGCGCACCTGGCCCATCGCACGCAGTGCTTCGCCATGCCGCTGCACTCGAGCCGCAGTGGTGCTCAGTGGCCAGGCAGCACCTTCCAGACCATCAGAGTCTCGCCACTGCCGCGCCTCTCGCTCTCCGCCTCTCTCGCCTCGTCATCGCGGACCTGCCACATGGCTCGCTACGGCCTGTCCAGCGCTGCCACTGCACATCACCTCGATCCTCCACTCACCGCGCAGGATCTCGGTGAAGAAGAAGAGCTGCGCGGCCTTGTCGAGCGCGCTGGGCCCGCGCGAGTAGTCGGGCACGGCGGGGTGTGCCGCGGCCTGCTTGGTGACCTGCTCGGCGTGGCCCTCGTCGCGCACGGCGTGCAGCTGCGTGGGGCCCGTGCGGCCGCCGTCGGGGCGCGGCGTCGGCGCGGCGAGGCGCAGCGGGCGGGCCGAGCTGAAGGCGCGCGAGACGGACGCGGCGGGTGCGGGTGCGGCGAGGCGCGCAGCCAGGAAGCCGGCGGCGGGCGCGGCGCCCACACGGCTGGCGAGCGCGGTGCGCAGGAGGGAGCGCGGGAGGGCCATGGCGGGCGGAGCGGGAGTGGTGGTGGAGAGGCGGTGGAGATGCTGCTGCTCGCCGTCGGCGCTGCCGTCACGCCTGGCTGGCGCTGCGATCGCGGCACGCCCGCCACGCTTGCGTTGCTGTTGCCCGCACGCCGGCCTGGCCCAACCACCGCCGGCGCATCACCACCGCGCGCACTTCGCCGCCGTCGCACGCGCGAGCGTGGGAACACACGGCCGTCGCGGCGCACGACCTCGACGCGCCGCCGCCTCGGCATCTTCCTATGCTTCCTGCTCCCTCCACCCCTCCTCAGCCAGGCTGCTGTCATCTGCACATTCATAGCCACCTCGTCACACTCCGCTGCATATCCATCATGGCCGCCGCCGCCTCGTCGACGCCGCCGAGCCCGAGCCTCTACGTCAAGAACCTCGACACGCGCACCAAGAAGCCCGAGCTTGCGCGCCAGCTCTACGTGCTGTTCGGCGCGTACGGCAAGGTGCTCGACGTCGTCGCCACGCGCGCCGCCGGCATGCGCGGCCAGGCCTTTGTCGTCTTCCGCGAGCAGCAGGCGGCGACGGCGGCGCGCCGCGCCCTCGACGGCTTCGAGTTCTACGGCAAGGCGCTCGTGAGTGGCGGCGCACTGCAGCGGATGCAGCGCAGAGGAAGAGTCAGGGCATGCAGCGCAGCGAGGCATAGCCACGGTGGACGCAGGACGGCTGGAATGCGCCAGTGACTGTAGGGCGCTGGCGGCCGCTCGCTGGCGAGCGGCGACGTCGGTGCTTCTGGTGCAGCGAGAGGCTGCGTTGGTGCGTGCAGCGTAGGACGGTGCTGGATGCGGTGCAGCGAGAGCCTGTGCCAATACATGTCGTTCGACGCAGGGCTGAGGCATGCTGGCTGGTCATATCCGGCGCTCGCCTCGCTGCGTGGCTCCGTATGTAAGATCAACCCTCTGCCGTCGCTGACGCGTTCCGGCTCAGTCCATCGACTACGCTCGCACGCGCTCCAACGCCACTGTCATCGACCAGCACGGGCCCGCAGCGCTGTACGACCCGCTGCTGCAGGCGCGCCTCGCCGGCACGTCGGCGGCGGGCGCGAGCAAGGTGACCATGTCGAGCGCACAGGGCGCGGCGCGCGAGCGCAAGCGCGGCCGCGACGAGGAGGGCGCCGCGCCCGAGGAGGAGGGCAACGAGAGCAAGGTGGCGCGCACCGAGGCAGAGGCGGCGGACGACGACGACGATGATGCAGGTGAGTGCGGATGGGCTGCTGTGCGGCGCCTCGTGGCCTCCCTGCCTTGCCTCTGATGCGCCTTTGCCCGCAGAGATGGATATGTCCGACTCGGACTCGGACGCAGAGCCACCAGCAGCCAACGGCAAGGCGAATGGCTCGGCGCTGGGGCCGCCATCGGCTGCTGCAGGCAGCGTGCCGAACGAGCTGCTCTTCCTTGCAGGCCTCTCGGACGAGGTGTCGGAGGACGCGTTGGGCGCGCTCTTTGGCCAGTGAGTAAGCTGGAGGTGCGTCAGTGCGGACGGCCGGCTGACCCTCGACTGCAGATATTCAGGCTACCGCTCGGTGCAGCTCGTGCCTGGCTCGGCAGCACGGCAAGCACACGCTTTTGTCGAGTTTGCCGACGCGCGAGCGGCCGGTGCGGCGCGCGAGGGCCTCGCCGGCTTTCAGCTCAGCCCGTCGCTGAAGCTGAGCGTCGAGTGGGCAAAGCGGGGCTGAGCGGTGCGGCGGATGTCATGCATTATTCAGAACAGCGGTGGGTGACTCGTGTGATGGAATGAGGGAGCGCGTGACGGCGGGGCTGTTCCGATGATGTAAGGTGACAAGAGATTTGCAGCGTGCGGTATAGATGATGGCGGCGGGATAATCGGGACGACGGAACAGGACTGTGCCAGGTGCAAGAGCGTCAGCAGGGATCGCGGCCATGTCTGATCCACAACAGCAGCATCAACCGCGAGGCGTCTCAGGACCGCGCCGGCGGCGGGTGCGCCGCGTCTTCATCCGGCCGGCGCAGGCGCAAGCGCCCACACCGGCCGCGACGAGGAGGCAGCGGCGCATGGACCGCACAGGCCCGGCGCGGGCTTGCCACGTTTGATCGTCACCGCCACAACGCGCAAACGCGTGCGACTCGTCGTATAAGGATGAGTTGGTTGCATCACCGATGCCTCCCGGGATGCTGCTGCTCGTGCACGTGCAGACAAGTACTCACATCAGAAGGGCTTCACATGCGGAAGCGCTTGTGCGGGCTGCCACGGCGCTCCGCCTCAGCCGTCGAGCGCTTCTCGCCGCTGCCGAGGCGCGGCGCAGAGCCCGCGACCTCGCGCAGGCTCTGCTGTCCCGCTGCGGCGCTGTTCTCGCGGCCGCATGAGCTTGCGCGCACGTCAGAGGCCCACTTGAAGTAGTCGCAGCGGTCTACATGCGGCCATGTCAGCACATCCCGTCACTTCGATGAAGCCAGCGTGCTCACACTCGGGATTGATGTCGATGCGCTCGCGGCCCTCGCGCTCGTACCCTGGACCCACAGGCCGCGAGCAGAGGTAGAACTTGCGGCCGTGGTTGGGTCCTGCACACGAGTCAGCCTTGAGTGGCATCGCCCACCTGGCGCCGACAGCCGCTCTCACCTGACTTGTTGACGGTCCATGCCCGCGTCTCCTCGCGATGAACGACGCAGCGTGGCGCAGGCGGCGGCTTGAAGATGCTGCCCCACGCAAGCGAGGCCTCGACACGCGCTGCCGCTGTGCTCGGGCCGTCATCGTCTTCCAAACCACCGTCGGATGTCGAGGCAGCCAGCTCGGCAGCGGTCGGCGCGGAGCTGTTGGCGACTCCGAAAGCCTCACCATCTGGTGCCATCGCTGCCTGCTGCGCCGCGCTAGAAGCATCTACAGTCGATGACGAAGCGTCTGCCAAAGGAGCCGCCGCAGACTCGGCAGCCTTGGCCGAAGAGCCGGCGCCAGAGCCGAAGAAGGCCATCAGCTTGCGCTGCCCCGCCTGTGCAGTCTTGCCCTTGCTGGTCGCCTTGCTGCCCTTGGCGGTCGCCTTGCCGCGCGGCGCAGACGGTGACGGGCTTGCGCTGGGGCGCGGCGCAGCTGGGCGCGTGTTCTGCGGCGACACCGTAGCTCGTGGCGCCTGTTGTGCGATAGCCGCCACCGGACTGGCTGTGACAGGCGCAGAGCTGGCAGCGAGCTCGCCGACCGCCGGTACCGCGTGTGCGGCGGAGCCTTCACTGTCGCGCAGTGCAGCGAAAGCATCTGCCAGCGTCGGTGAACGCGGCGCAGCTGGCGCCTCCAATGCACTGGCAGCGACCGGCGCATTCTCGGGCTCTGAAGCGGACGCTGGCGTACTCTCCGGACCTGCGGCGCTTGCAACCGCTGCCGCCACCCGCGGCGCGCCAAAGAAGCTGCGTATGTTGCGCTGGTTGAACTCGGGCCAGTTGCTCGTCGCCGTCGCCGGCAGCTTGTGCGTGCCGTGGGCACCGAGCAGGTCGCGCAGCACGAGACGTTCGCCGTCGACGACGAGCTCGTCGTGCAGATCGAGCCACACGGGGCAATGGTCGCTGCCAAAGACGTCGGGCGCAATGTCGGCGCCCTTGACCCAGCGGCGCAGGCCCGGCGACACGAGCGTGTAGTCGAGGCGCGTGCCGTAGTTCGACGGGCGCGCATCGATGAGCGTGTTCCACACCGTGTACATGCCGGCGCGGCGCGGGAAGAGCTCGCGCGTGACGTCGTGCAGGCGGCCCGTCGGCGCGGGCAGCAGCCACGAGTCGAGCCAGGCGCGGGCGGGATGTGCTGCGAGATAGGCGTCGCGCGGTGTCTTGCCGGCGTGGTCGCAGTGGTCGATGGGCTCGCGTGCGATGTTCAGGTCACCGACGACTGGCGGGCGGAGTGTTGTCAGCATCGGTGCGACAGCGGGCGGCGCATTCGTGAGGGCTCTGCCAATGAGCACTGGCAGCAGCAGCAGCACTTCGTATCGCAGCCAGCCTCGCACACGCCACCGCCACTTCTGTACGCACCGATGACCTCGCGCCCCGCCGCCAGCAGCGCCTCGACGCGTGCCGCCAGCGCTGCGTTGTACGTCAGCTTGTACTCGCGGCGCGTCTCGTCCGTCTCGTTGGGGCAGTAGAGGTTGAAGAGCACGAAGAGGCCGCAGTCGACGACGGTGGCACGGCCCTCGGCGTCGAGCTGTGCCCACAGCGCGTCGTCGCACGCCAGCGGCTGGGCCAGCGGCGGCAGTGCGAGGCCGTCGGGCGTGCGTGCGGCGCCGGTGATGCCCGGCTCGGCGGCGCACGGCCGGCACGCCGCGCTGCGCACGTACGTCGCCGTGCCCGAGTAGCCGCGCTGCGGGTGCAAGTCGGCGAACGTCGTCCAGCCGGCGGGCGCCATGAGGCCGCGCTCGCCGTCGAGGGCGCGCCGCGTCGCCTTGACCTCCTGCACGCACGCCATGTCGGCGCCCAGCAGCTCGAGGCACGCGGCCCAGTCGGGCAGCGCGTACCACGGGCGGTAGCCGCGCACGCTCTTGAGGCCGTTGACGTTCCACGACACGATGCGCATCGCGGGCAGCCAGAGGTGGCAGGTGGTGGTGGGAAGGCAAGCTTGCGGCGAGGAGCGTGATGTCAGGTGGAGCGGCGGCGCGCTGACGTAAGCGCGAGGCGTGCTTCCTCGAGGCGCACTGGCCATCCCCGCACTTCCTTCCCGACCCTCACCTCCGCCATGAACAGCACACACGCATCAGGCAGCAGCACATCGGCGCCCAGCGTCTCGCTGCTCACGCTGCCTGCCGCGTCGCCGTACGCCGAGCCGCAGTTCCTGCTGCTCACCTGCACGCCGCACGCCGGCGCGCTCCTCGTCCACGTCTGCGCCGCGCCGCCCGCGGCCATCGTCGCCGGCGAGCGCGCCGCTGCGCCGCCACCGCCGCCCCAGCAGACGCACGCCGAGACGCCCGCCGAGCGCGACCAGCGCCTCGTCGACGAGGCGGCCGACGGCGACCTCGAGCGCGCCCTCGCCGCCGCACAGCTCGAGGCCGGGCGCGACGCGGCGCCGGCGCCCGGCAGTGCGCAGCCCGTCGGTGCGCTGGCGCGCGAGTGGGCCGTCGCCATGGCACGGCCGGGGCAGGTGTGTGGCAGCAGAGTGCGTGTCTGTGCGATGCTGACATCCTGCTCAGCGGCCGGGCACCGAGGCGCTCGGCACGGCCCTCTTCCGCACGCCGGCAGACGTGGCACTGCCGATTGCCAAGCGGCTCGGTGCGTGCGATGTGCACCTCCAGCGACGCTCCACACTGACACCCTCCCAGCGCGCCGCCTGCAGCTGCCGCAGCTGCTGCTCTCGCTCGACCTGCCGCCGCTCGGCGAGCCCGGCGCGCCCGAGACGAGCGCCGCGATGCTCGGCCTCGAGCGCGGCCTGCTCGATGCGCTGCGGGCGCACGTGGCGGCGCAGGGCGGCGCATCAATAGCATGAGTGCGGTACGCAGCATGCAGGAGCGGGCATAAGATGTGCAGGGTGTGGTAGTGTACAGGCGTGACGGGGCGTCGTGCAGGTGCGCGGATCGTGAGGAGCGTCTAGTTCTCGGGAATGCGGCTGCCGGAGAGGCGTCAATCAGGGCCGCACCAGCGCAGCACGCTCGCACAACCCACAAGATGGTGATCTCCTGCTGCTTGAAGTAGCGCCGGTTCTCCTCGTCGATGAGCACGAGGTTGAGGTAGTAGCGCGTCGAGAACTTCTTGTTGACGTCGCGGAACGTCGGCGTGAGCTCGAAGCCGCCGAGGAAGAGGCGGATCGGGATCGTCTCGCCTGGAGAGGGGCGCATGAGCACGGGCGACATTCAGGTGCCTGCGGTCTGCTCACCTCGCACTGGCGCGCCGTCCATGATCTCAAATTTGGTGATCGTCTCGCTCTCGTTGTACTGATTTGGCGCTGGAGAGAAAGAATGAGCGGAGTAGGCTTGCAGCCAGCCCGAGACACCCACCTGCGCCCGTCGTTTCTCGCCGGATGATGCTCAGCTCCATGTGCTTGATCTTGATGCGCACGAGGAGGAAGTAGATCTTGCCGACGATCACATCCTTGAGGTGGTATCTGCGCGCCGCCGTCAGGAGCAGCACGGCACCAACACCAGCGCACCACTCACTTGCTCTTGTTGTACTCAAACTCGATGTGCAGGCAGTCCTCGATGCCGACCTCCATCTTGATGGCGTTGTTCGAGTCCGGCGGCATGCGGTACGAGTGCACCCAGAGCTCCTTCTCGCGCACCACGTCGGCCATGCGCCGTGCGATGGTGAGGCGCAGAAAGTACCTGTGTTGCGTGTGAGAGCGTGTCTGGGGCTGCCAGGCCGCACGGCAGGCTCACCGCAGCCGCACGTTGATACCCGCGTAGCTCTCGTACTGCTTCTCGACGTTGTGGAAGTCAAAGTCGAGCGCGACGGACTGCCGGATCTCGCCCGGCGACGCCAGCTCCTGCACCAGCGACACGAACTCGTAGTGGTGGCCGCGGTCGTAGAAGAGCTCTGCGGCGGCGCATCAGCGGTCCTGCGTCGCTGCTGCCGGCATGTGCGTGCTCACCGATGGACCCGACAAATTCGACCTTGATGCCCTCGTGCGCAAGCTTCTTGCCGTCCCGCACGCGGATATGCGCCTGCAGAGACCGCGTCAGCTCTGCAGCTGGCCTCGTCGCCAGCACGCCTTGCCAAGGCGCAAGCAGCAGCGCCAGAGCGAGCAGCCCCGAGCGGCCCGCGCGGCAGCATCTGCTAGCAAACAGCGCGCGACCGGACTACTGATGCAGCTTGCCGGCCAGGCAGAACCCCGACGCTGTGCAGCGCTGCGTGACAGCGATCACGCCGGTGCTGCCTGTCCGCTAGCACAGGCCGCGCGGCGCCGATTCCCTCCTCTCGCCGAGCTTGCCTCGCACCGCCAGGCCGGGATCGCAGTCCAGCGTGCATGGCGGCGACGGGCTTGGCGGCACTGCGCTCGCTCCAAGCGCGACCTCCAGCGCAGCACGTGCCTCTCCTGCCCGCCCTGCCCCTCTCCGCGCGGCCCCACGCACCGTGCCCTGCACGCTCTCGCCGTCGAAGTAGACGGGGCACTTCTCGCGGCGCTCGGCGGCCGCGGCGCCCTTGGCGGCGGCGGCGGCGCTGCTGCTGCCGGCGGCGGCGTCGGGCTTGACGTCGACCATCTTGCGCGCCTCGGCGCCGGCGAGACGCAGCTCGACATCGAGCGGCGACGAGAAGGAGAGCCACGAGGCCATGGCGGGCGCGTGCGACCCAAGCGGAGTGTGCGAAGGACGACGCTGGCGATGTGAGGACTGAAAGAGGCTGAGCGGGAAGGAGTGCAGGTGCAGTGTGAGGGTGTTGGTGTGGAGTGGAGCGAGGCTGCACAGCGAGCTCGCCGTCGCCCCTGGCTCCGCGGGGACGTGCGCTGCGCGCGGCCGGCGGCGCGCGACTCCGCCTTCCTTGCTCCTCCTCACACTCGACTGCACCTCCGCCCAACTCGCTCCGCATCGCATCTTAAGCGCTAGCGGATGGCTGCACAATGCAGAGCTGGTCGAATAGTAGCAATCGAGAATGCATTCGGAGGACAGTGACGGGCCCGCAGTGAAACGGAGCAGAGACGCTTGACACGCCTCGCAAGACGCGGAGGCCCCTGCGTTGCGTGATCTCGTATGGCCAGGCTGCGATGTAGCACGCCAAGCCTTGTGGCAGGGGCATGGGCTCTTCAGCTTCTGCAATGTCTCCTGCCATGCCGTAGGTCGTCTTGTCTGCCCTTCTGGCGTCCAGATGCGAAAGTGGCCTTGGCCGGATGCGAGCGGCTCAGCCAGCTTGGTGATGCTGGGAGCAGCCTCCGGCCGCGGCGCGGCGCGATCGACGCCCACCGGGCGCTATGCCCGGCCGGATTGTGAGCAGCGCTTCGTCGTCGTCGTCGCTGCTGCTGCTCAGGGGGCGTGCCACTGCGGGGCCGGATGCTGGCTGATGAGCTCTGGCCCACTCTGGCCCATGGCAGCCCGAGGGGCTGCGCAGTGCCGCACCGTGCCGTGTGCTGCTGTGCCCCGCCGGAAGCAGCGCGAGATGAGGCATGCGCCGCGGCGTGGAGCGGGCGACGCTGACGCTGCTGCTGCCGTGCCGCTGCGCCGCTGTGCCGGCTCCGGCCGCTCATCTCCGCGCGGCCGCGCCGCGCCTCTTTCAGATCTCCGCCGCGCCGCCGATCGCTCCTCTTGACCACCACCACCGCCAGTCAGAGTCCGTCGCATGTCGCAGCCGCAGCCGCACGCCGCATCGCCGCCGCCGCCGCCGCAGCAGGCGCAACAGGCACAGGCACCGGCACAGCCGCAGCCGCAGGCAGCGCAGGCCCAGCAGGTGCGTCGCCATTGGCACCTCCACGTGTGCGTGTGTGCGCACCACTCACACCCACCAGCCGCTGCCGCGCATGACCGACTCCACCTCGGGGCCCGGCACGGGCCCGTCGAGCGCAAAGCTCGCCGCGCTCAGCATCCAGTCCTACCACCTCGACTCGCCGCCCTTCACCGGCGCCGCCGTGGGTGCCGGGCTCGGCTCGGCCGCGCAGACGCCGCAGCAGCAGCCGCACGCCCACGACGGCCCGCTCTCGCCGTCGCAGCAGCAGACGCCCGGCGCGTCGGGTTCGGGCGCCGCCGGCAGCAGCGCCCACTCGCGCTCGCCCCTCTCGCGCGAGGCGAGCCGCCGGCGTGCGTCGCCCGACGGCGCCGCGCCGGCGCACGGGGGCGACGGCAACGGCGACGTGCCGCGCTGGCGTCTGGACGCACGCCGCACCAGCAACGGCTACCGCACCGAGCGCTCGCCGTCGCGCACGCCGCAGCGCGGCAGCGCCAGCAGCCCGAGCGGCAGTGGCAGCACCAGCGCCGCCGCGACGACGGGCAGTGCCGAGGCGCTGGCTGCCGCCGCCGCCGCCTCGGCGCTCGTGTCGGGCGACCCCGAGGCCGTGCGTCCGGCGTACACGCGCACCTACGACGTCGACGGCTTCGGCGAGGAGCGCAGCGAGGCGCCCGCCGACGACGCCTACGACGAGCTGCTCGACGAGGAGCGCGGCGAGGCGCTTGCCGCCGTGCCCGTGCAGGGCCAGCGCCGGGTGCGTAGAGCGGTGCATGTGCATACTGGCGCTGCTGACCTTCTCTGCAGGAGGACTACGTGTTCCCGCGGCATCGCCTGCCGACGCGCATGCGCGATGAGAGCAAGGTGCCGCTCGTGATTGTCGCGTGCGGCTCCTTCTCGCCGCCGACGTACCTGCATCTGTGCGTGCGGCGTGTGCTCTGGCGCTGGCTGGCCTGGCTGACGCGTTGTGTGCAGGCGCATCTTTGAGATGGCCAAGGACCAGGTCATCGAGGAGGGCAAGTACGAGCTGCTGGGCGGCTACTACTCGCCCGTGTCCGACTACTACAAGAAGGAGGGCCTGGCCAAGGCGACGCACCGCGTGCGCATGTGCGAGTGAGTAGCGTGCGTGCTGCTGCACCGGGCCTCTCTCACCGTCGCTGCGCAGGCTGGCCGTCGAAAAGACTTCGACGTGGCTCATGGTCGATGCGTGGGAGTCGCTGCAGGATGCGTACCAGCGCACCGCCGTTGTGCTCGACCACTTTCACGAGGAGCTCAACGGCGGCGCCGACGGCGGCGTGCTGCTCAGCGACGGCTCGCGGCGCCGCATCCGCATCATGCTGCTCGCCGGCGGCGACCTGATTCAGAGCATGGGCGAGCCGGGTGTGTGGGCTGAGGCGGATGTGAGTGCGACGTGCGTTGCCAGGCTTGGCGCTGTGCTGACGTGACTCGCAGCTGCACCACATTCTCGGCCGCTACGGCTGCATGATTGTCGAGCGGACGGGCGCCGACGTGTGGAGCTTCCTGCTCTCGCACGACATCCTCTGGACGTACCGGCGCAATCTGCACGTCGTCACGCAGGTCATCTACGACGACGTCAGCTCGAGCAAGATCCGCCTCTTCGTGCGGCGTGGCAAGAGCATCCGCTATCTGCTGCCGCAGAGCGTCGTGCGGTATATGGCCGAGAACCAGCTGGTGAGCGGCCGCGCGTGCATTGCGGCGCCACGCATAGGCTGACACGGCCTTGCAGTACCGACTGCCGCCGGAGGAGACGAAGAAGCAGCCCAACGCCGACGACCAGATCTGGTGACCGCGCGCGACGGCACGCCCCTGCTCCATCTCCCGCCTCGATGCTCTATTGCCCGCCGCATGCCCCGCCATAGATTCAGCGCCCCATCTACCCGCATCGTCCAGCCCCCTGTATCACCACGCCTCGACGGGCCTGCCTCGCGTGCTTGTCTCCCCTGCAATATGTGTCTCGTCGCGCGCGCACCCGCTGCGTCGCGCCAGCCTCCTCATCGTCTCGATACCGGCAACCAATGGCACACCTTCAGCAGATGTAGGAGGGAATCGATTGCATGCGTGCATGTGGGATGAGAGCGCGCGCTGGCGCTCGGCGGGTATGGCGGCAGGAGCAGAGGAGAGCGTGACGGAATGATTAGGACGCGGCGAGGATATGTGAGGAGGCAGATAAGGAAGCAGGACTCAGAGGTCGCGGTATGAGGCGATACTGAGGGAGGATGCGGTCAGCACAATGCGCGATTGCGGAACAGCCGATCCGACTCACCTCTCGAGAGCGGACACGACGACGTCGATGTTGGTCATGAGGCCGTGGCCGGCGCCCTTGACGACGCGCACGGTGCAGTCTGCCATCTCGCGCTCCATCCACTGCGCAGACGCGAGTGAGATGCGCTCGTCGCGGTCGCCGTGCCAGACGAGCACAGGGTGCCGCACATCCGGGTACGAGAAGCCCCACGGCCGCTGCGACGAGCGGCCGAGGATCGTGAGCAGGTCGGCCGTGCCGCCGGCGAGCGACTCGGCGTGCGAGGCACGCAGCAGCGCCGTGGGCAGGTCGCTCGCCGGCCCGCTGGAGCCGCCGCGGGTCGTGGCAGAGGAGACAGACGAGGACGACGAGGCTGCGTGCGTCGGCGTCGACGGGCCACTGCCATCTTGAAATGCTGGGAATGAGAGAGCGGCAGGCGATGACAGGGCAGTGGAGCCTGCGCTGCTGCCACGGGCGCCGTCGGCAGGGCCCATGACACTGCTGCGCCGCGTGACCTTCGACCCTTGTGACGGATCTGCAGGCACGGATGCTGCCGCAGTCACGTCCACGCCAGACGCCGAACGCTTCAGCACACGCAGACTGCGGCGCGCAGTGAGCTTGGGCACGCCGTCAAGCGACGGCCGCGCGTCGCGCGATGCTGCTGGCGACGTGTCCAAGCGTGCCGCTCCCGCACTGCCCGCAAGTGAGCTGGAAGACTCCCACGTCGGCATCTCGCTGCGCGCTGCGATGCTGGCAAAGGCCGACGGCGCTGCAGTCTGCCTGGGCGACGAGAGCGCAGAGGCATCGGGCAGCGCAGGCGTAGCGGGTGTGGACGGCGTTGGCGAGCGGCGCGGCGACTGCGGCCCGTTCGTGGCGCCGAAGATTCCGCCGAAGAGGCCGGTCTTGCTCGACTTTTGCTTGAGCGGCCGTGTTGAGGAGAGCACGGGGCTTGGCACATTTAGCGTAGGCGTCTTGAGCGCTGCGTCGAGTGACACATCAGCTGCGTTCTGCGATGCATCGTGTGGCGACATCGGCGGATCTGAGCTCGACGGCTCTTGCGAGCCACGACCTTTGCGTGACGCGGCCGTGCCGAGCGGTGGCGTGTCGGTCTGCAGCGTCGGCAGCTTGCCGAGCTTCCAGCCCTGCATGCGCCACTCTGCCGCCTGCGCCGTCTTGATGATGCCGTCGGGCACGTACTTGAGCCACTTGTACCCGCTCTCCACCTCGGCACCAACCCACGGCGCCAGAAGATGCGCAGGGCCTGCGATTGTGCCGGGCGAGCTTGTGAGGCAGGTCGCCATAGCGTACGGGGCGCCTGCCGAATGCGCAAGGACAGAGAAGCGCGACAAGCCAAGCTCGTCCGCAACCTCGTGCACTACGCCGCTCCACAGCAGCACGCCGCGGCGCTCCGAGGGCAGGTCGTCGGTGCGGCCCATGCCCCAGCGGTCGACGCAGATGAGGCGCAGGCCCATTGCGGCTGCCATCTCGTCGTAGAGACCGACGAGGTAGCGCACGGCGCCAAGGCCGAGGAAGACAACGACTGGGTGCCCGACTGGGTCTCCCACGTCTGCGAGCGAGACGCGCAGGCCAGCATACGGCGCGCGCGAGAGCGTCACGACGCGCGTCAGCTTCGACGAGCGGATGAAGCTGCTGACGCTGGCATCTTCGCTGGCCGACAGCGACGGGACAGGCGGCGCTGCCTCAGCTGAGCGAGGTGTCTGCGAGGAGGCGAGACGGGCGTTCGCCGAAGCGACGCTGATGTTGGATAGCGTGCGGTTGCGCACGCTCGCGTTTGCCGAGCCCGGCGCAGACTTGCGCGCGTAGACCGGCGGCTTCTGCAGCGCACCGAACTCGCTGGCTCCGAGTTGCGGCGACGGTGTCTGGTTGCGCGCGGGCCGAGTCGGAAAGCTCGTGGCGTGATGCAAACGGTGCGTGTCCGGCAGCTCTAGTGTGGGACTTGCGGCTGCATCTCGCCGGTCCTTGAGCAGCGAGCGATGTGTGCGCGTTTGCGGGTTGATCAACTGCGAGGCGCGCAAGGTCTCGCGCACTTCGCGCCCGACGGAGTCGACGCTCGACTCTGACGCATCGCTGAGCGTGCCGTCATCGGATGCTGCCGCGCTGATAGTGCGCAGGCGGGGCGTTGCGTCGCTCTGGTTTGCCGCGCTGGCGTCGCTGCGCAGAGCTGCCGGCGGGAGCGGAATGCCATTGATGATGTCGTTGATGCTGCGCACAGGCACACGTGCGCTGCGCGGCGTGTGCGGCAAATCCCTGCCGAGTGCATGGCTCGACGCTGCATACGTTGCGGGCACGTCGGCAGCGGCACCCGCCGCAGCAGCTCGCAGATCGAGGCGTGGACTGCGCTGCAGCGTCGACGGCGACGCCGGCGAGTCGGCGCCAACGCAGCCACGCGGCGCGATACGAAGGCCTTCGGAGCCGCGGCGGATGATCTCGTTGATGGAGAGCGGCACATCGCCGGCAAGGCGCGCAGGCGGAGCCAGGCCCTGGGCGCTCGATCCGCGACTCATGTCCGCGTCCGTCGAGATCCACTCGCTGTCGCGGCTGCTCGCCTGCCGCTCCTCCTCCTCGCGTCGCCGCTCGCGCTCCTTTTGCGCATCGACCTGCTCGCGCACGCGCCGCCAGCGCTCCTGCGTGGCAGCCTCCTTTGCGCGCACACGTGCCATGCCTTCGGCGTCAGAGTAGCGCGGGAGGACGCTGTCCGCCGGTGCCGGCATGGTGGCGGTGCGCGGCTTGCCCGGCGAGCCGGTGCACTCTGCCGGCCGGCGACGCGCCGAGCTGCGCGGCTGGGGCGGGCTCGAGTGCGTCTCACGCGGAGCACGAGGAATCAGCCCGCCTGCTGTTGCTCTTGAGAGTGCGCCTGCCGAATCTGGCGCCACATGCTGCGGCTCGCGCGCTGGCTGCGACCTGGCCAGGAGGACGATGTTCTGCGCGCTGCGCCGCCGCGTGACGCCCGTGACCTGGCCTGGATAGCCGTTGGGATGCCGCTGCGCAGCTGCCTGTGCCGCACGATCGACCTCCGGCGGCGAGCCCTGCGCCCTGGATGGTGGGGCGTCGTGCGCCTTTGCCGGCGTAGCAGCGGCAGCCGCATGTACCTTGGGCACTGGTAGGACACGCACGGGCGGCGAGGGCCAGTCGCGCGCAGCCCGCGTGGCAGCGCGCGCATGCCACTGGCGCGCCACGCCGCTGCCGAGGCTGGCGGCGCTGCTCGAGCTCGACATGCCGCTGAGCGACGCCGAGCTGCTGCTCGAGCCCGACGCGGCGAGCGAGTGCTCGGAGCGCGAGCGCACCACGGGCGGCAGCGCCGCACGCGCCGCGGCCGTCGCCGCTGCGCCGCGAGAGCGCGTGCTTATGGGCAGCCCCGAAGAGAGCAGATAGGCGCGAGCATCGAGCGGCGGCGTTCGTGGTGGCAGTGCTGCGGCAGAGTGTGCCTCGAGTGACGCAGGCGCTCGTCCGGGCGGCAGCGCTGCGACAGCGTCCGCCGAGGTCGCCTCTGACGCTCGTCCAGGCGTGCGTGGTGCAGCGCGGCCGTCAGTGCTGGTAGCTTGTGGTGGCGCAGCGCCATCAGGGTGCCCTTCTTGAGCTGCCCGCCCGCTGCTGCGCTGTGCCTCGCCCTCGGACGGCGCGCGGCGCGCAGCCGAGGTGCGGCGCTCGCGGGCGTCGCTGCTCTTGCTGCGCGCACCAGCGGCGGCCTGAAGGCGCGGCAGCAGCGCCTTGGGCGGCGCATACGGGCCCTGGCCGCGGCGCTCGGGGTAGAGGTCGAAGTACGAGGCGCGGGCGCCGGGCGATGCGGCGGCGCCGGTGCTGCCGGGCGTGGGCGAGGCGCTGGGCGAGGCAGCCGCGGACGACGAGGCGCGGGCCGCGAGCATGGCTGCGCCGCAGACAGAGCGGAGGTAAAGAGACTATGCGCAAGAGAGCATGAAGAGAGCGGCGGGTGAGAGAGCGTGGCAGAGGCAGGACGTGGCAGGTCGTGGGCAGAAGCGGCAGCAGGGCAAGGCGGCGGCGAGAGATAGGGGCCGGAGCAGCGCGCACTGCCGAGGCACTTGCAGCAGCAGATGCAGCGAGCACAGCACCGAGACGAGCAGCGCAGGCGGAGTGAGGGCGAGATGCGCCGCAGCGGCAGCAGCAGCAGCGGCGGGTGTGGTGGAAGCACGGCAGCAAGCAGCGCAGCGCCGCGCGAGGCGCGTTTCGTCCCGAGGGCGCTGCCAAAGCGCACCGCCGAACGCGCACCGCACACGAGCGCCTCCGCGCCTGCACCCCGATGCGCGCGCCGATCCAGCCCAGGCTGAGCTGGCCCACACTATCTCGAGCATGGCCGACTGGCGGCGACGCCGAGGCTGCAGCACGCATCGCTGCCGGCTGTGTGACATCTCACAGCCCTTGCCATCCTCGGCCTGGCGGCCGATGCGTCGAAGGCAGGCGCTCGCTGTGCGGCCGGCGCTCCTGAGCGGCGAGCTGCCGCATGCCGCGCGCCGCCGCCGCGACCGCCCGCTGCGGAATGGCGCGGCCAGCGGCGCCGGCGAGGCCCAACAGTGGCCTCCCGTTGCATGTACGATGGGCGCGATGCTGCTCACGGTGCAGCTGGTCCTGTGCAGGCAGCTTGTGGGCCGGGTTAGAGGTTCAAGGCCTCGGTCTGAGAGCAGCCGGTGCTCCCACGAGGTGCGCTCGCGCCGCCAAGCCGCCCCAGAGCAAGATCCGCGGCTGTCGCGGCGCGCGCGCCGTTCCCCGCACCACCATCATCAAGCAGCAGCAAGCACCGCGCCATGGCGTCCAGCGACTCCTGGCCGGATCTGCGCCACGAGCGTGCACGCGAGGCGGCAGCGCGGCGTCTGCCGCCGTGGCGTGTCGGGCTGGCGACCGCGGCGGCGTACTCGCAGCTGGCCGTGCACCTCGCGCTCGCCCTGCCGCTCTGGGCCCTCGTGCCGGCGACGCGCCCCAGCGCCAAGTGTGCGTGCACAGGCAGCGCCAGGCGCTCCCGTCGCTGACGTCTCTGCAGACTCGCTGCGGCAGGCGCTGCTCGTGACTGTCGTGCGCTACATCTCCGCGCTGACGATGCGTCTGCGCATCGCGCCCGCCATCGACGCGCCCGTCGCGCCGGCGTCGCTGCAGCGCAGCGCCCTGCTGCGCCCCGACGTGCCGCCCGTTGCTGCCGAGCGCGTCGTGGGCCTGGTGCGCCAGGCAGCTGTGCGTGTCGGCGTGCGTCCGCAGGCCGTGCGGGCGTATGTCTTCGGCGGCGCCACGGGCACGACGTGTGCGCCCGACGAGCTGCGCTCGCTGCGGCGCATCGTGCTCGCGCTGCACGGCGGCGCCTGGGTCGTCGGCCGGGCGCACGAGGAGCGCGGCGGCAGCGCCACGGCCGTCACGCTGGCCCCGGTGAGCGTTGTGCATGTCATCCCAGTGCCCCGGCTGACGGTCTAGCAGCTGCTGAGCGCCGACGTGCGCGTGCTCAATGTCGAGTACCGCCTCGCCGAGGAGAACCCGTTCCCAGCGGCGCTGCTCGATGCGCTCTCGGCGTACGTGTGGCTCGTCGAGGAGCTGCAGATCTCGCCCGATCGCATCGTGCTCTCCGGCGACAGCGGCGGAGGTGAGTGCGGCGGAGTCGAGCGCGTACTAGTGCTGATCCGCATGCGCAGCCAACGTCGCGCTGGCCCTGATCCACTACCTGCGCGAGACGGAGCTGCTGCCGCTTCCGGGCAGGCTGCTCCTCGCCTCGGTGCGTGGGCCCGCTGGCAGCGCGTGACCATGTGCTGACCACGTCTCAGCCGGCCGTGGACCGCACCGGCTCGCACAGCGGCCCCCCTGGCTCGCGCGGCGACCTGCTCACGCCCAACGACCTCGCCTGGGCACTCGAGGCGTACCTCGGCTACGGGCGCCACCCGGCTGATCTGATCCAGTCGCCGTACGTCAGCCCGGCGTCAAAGCGCAACCTTAGCGAGCTTGAGCAAGCATCAGGCTCGTGGCCGCGCACGCTGATCTGCATCGGGTGAGCATTGCGCTGCGCTTTGGCAGCCCAGCCCCTGACGCTCCCACAGCGAGACCGAGGGCTATCAGCCGGCGCAGCGGGCCCTGCAAGAGGCACTCGCGCGCTGGCAGCCGCAGCAGGTGGAGCCGCTGCTCGAGGTCCAGGGCGCGCCGCACTGCTCGTGCCTCATCCCGACCTTCTTCGAGCCGCACACCGGCACCGCGCGCCAGGCTATGGCCGCTTTCGTCGAGGCGTGACGTGCTCGAGATGCTGTAGGTATTGCAGGAATGCAGGGAGAATAAGTGTACATGTTGTGAGCTAGGGAACAGAAGAGGGGTGGAGGGGCGCAGCCAGTCACTGCGACTCCTCGACACGCCCGCTGCGCTTCATGACGATGTCGAGGCCCGCGAGCAGGCTCTCGCTGTCGCTCTTGCGCATGTGGGCGCGAGCGAGCGCACCCCGGGCCGGCGCGAGTGTCGAGGCGGCCCGCTTGGACTCGCCGCTGCGGGCAGCGGGCCGAGAGCCAAAGCTGGTGACGCTCGAGCTGGCACCGCCGGCGCCGCGGCGCGCACCGGCGCTGCCGCGCGCCTGGTCCCAGGCAGGCTCCTCCTTCCACTCGGATTGCAGGCGGCGCATGCGTTCCTGCTCCGTCTGCGTGCCTCGCCGCGGCCCGCGCTGCAGCAGCATGGACATGGCGGACTGTCCCGGAATGGTCAGCTGGGCCTGCGCATCGGTGGCCAAACGTGCTCACCTGCGACTCTTCCTCGTCGTCGTCGCCGCCGGCGCCAGGGCCGCGCCGCTCAAAGGCCATGCGACTGCCGTCAGAGGGGCCGTCGCGCATCGACCGTGCCTTCGCAGCAAGACGGTCGTTGATGACAGGCGCGTGCAGGCTGCTCATCTCCTCGTCGCTGTCGTAGAAGGGGTCGGCGCGGCGCTGCGCCTCGGCTTCGGCCTGCTGTGCAGCCAGCGCCGCCTCGTCGTCCTCGTCGAGCACGGCGCCCGACTTGCGCTTCCGGCGCTGCTCCCGGATCTGCCGGACGAGGTCGCGATGCGTGATGCGCTCGCGTTGCGGCCCATCGTCGTCCAAGTCGTCGTTGTCCGAGGCTTCGTCGCTGTCGTGGCGCGGCGCACGCGTGCGGACCTCCTCGTCCTCGCTGGCCTCCTCCTCGCCGCCCGCCAGGAAGGCGTACTGGTCCAGCTCGTCCTCGTTGCGGTGCGTCTCCACGTATGTGCGCACAAAAGCCTGCGACTCCTCGCTTTGGGCTGTACGACCGGGCGCGTCAGTAGGGCACGATGCGGACCATGCGTCCGACTCACCGAGCAGGTCCATGCCGTCGGTGCCCTCAAGCTTGCGCTTCTTGGCCAGCGGGGCGCGCAGGCCCTGCGCGCGGCGGAGCAGATCTTCCTCGTCCCAGTCGTCGTCGAGCACGTCACCGAGGTCGCCGGCGTCGCGTGCACGTCCGCGACGGCCGGTGCGCAGCCCTCCGCGCACAGCCTTCTCGTGCAGCGCCAGGGCCGCGGCGTCGTCCTTGTCGATGTCTTCCTGGTAGCGCGCGAGAGCGAGCCGGTCCTTGAGTGCCTCGTCTTCCTCCTTCTCGTCGTTCATGAGCCCCTCGAGGTCCTTGCCGTCGTCCTCCTCGTCCTCGTCATCTTCGTTGCCCGACTCGCCGTCGTCGCTGAAGATGCCCTGCAGGCCACCGTTTCCGCGCCTGACGCGTCCCTCGTTGTCCTCGTCCGACTCTTCGGCTTCACCCTCGACGAAGGCGTTGGTGCGCTTCTTCGTCTCCGGGCCTGCCGAGCGGCGCGATGCCGCCTCGCGCAAGACTGTGAAGGCGTCCTTCGGCAAGCTGTCCTGCGAACCCAGCTGGAGGTCTTCTTCTTCCTCGTCGAGATCTTCAGCCTCCTCGTCCGAGCCGAGCTCGTCTGCCTGCGGGCTCTGCGCCGCACGCGCCGACGGTGAGCGCGAAGCACGGGCAGAACCCGAGCCCGACGGCCGCGTCGCTGGCTCTTCATCGTCATCCGACTCCTGGCGGGCACGGCGGAAGCGCTTGCGGCTGGGAGCGCTGACGGCGGGCCCGGCGGCGGAAGACTGGTCCTGGATGGACTCGCCAGAAGCTCCGGCTGCAGCGCTCTCGGGGGCGGACAGACGCGAGCCCTCGGGCGCCTGCGTCGCGTCCCAGAGCGCGGCCTGGCTCTGCGACTGAGACTGGCTCTGGCTCTGTCCGCTGTCGTCGTCGCCGGGACGCGTCTGCGTGAAGAAGCCGTGGCGGTTGATGTACTGCATGGGCGCCTTGTTGGCGGCCAGTTGCTGCTCTGCGCGTGCACGCTCGGCCTGCGCGTCCAAGTGCGCCGCGTCAGACTCGGAGTAGCTGAGCGACGGCAGCGCAGATGCGGTCGGCGCTGCGGCCTCGTCGGCCTGGGCGCGGCGCAGTGCGGCAAAGGCATCGCCGGTCGTCGTCGGCGGCGGCATGCTCTGTGACTCGACCTGCAGACGTCCGATGATGTCCAGGCTCTCGCCGCGCGGCGGCGCACCGACCTGCGTCGACTCGAAAAATTGGCCGAAGACGCTCGCGTTGGATGCGGCACCGGCACTCGGTGCCAGCAGGCTTGACGCGCCCTGCGGCGACGGTGAGGACGGTCGACGGACTGCGGGCGCAGCGGTAGGCTGAAAGAGCTGCGTGAAGCCGCCGCCGCCGAGCACGAAGCTGCCGGCACGCGAGATGTTAGGCGAGACGCTGGCCTGTCGAGGCGCGGACGATGCGGCATGCGGCTGTGCTGCGGCGGTGGGCTGGAACCACTGCGTCATGCCGCCCTCGAAGTTGGCGCTCGGGGCCATCGTGATGGCGTCCGCGCTGCTGGCGCTCTTGCGCCCGCGGCCAGGGCTGTCCGCGGGCAGTGCAGCGAATGGCGTGCGCACAGTAGAGACGGAGCTTTCTGCATCGGCCTCGTCGTCGGACAGGACGAGGCGCGTGCCGCGGCCACGAGGCAGGGGCGCGAAGACTGTCTCGTCCTCGTCGTCGTCGGCGGAACGCAGCGGGGCGCAGGGCTGACTGCTGGTGGGCTGCGAGTTCTCCTTGTCGCTGTCCTCCTCTTCGCTGTCGGCCGCGACGATGGCTGCGCTGCGTCGAACGTCGACATCCTCGCTCGCATCGCTCGCGTCACCGTCGGCACTCTCGACTGCCTCTGCCTCGCTGCCGCTGCCCAGCAGCACGACGTCGTCGACCACCATATCGGCGCTTTCGTCCCAGTCCGGATCGTCGTCATCGTCGTCGTCGGCTGCCGCGACGCCCGACTGCTGCTCCTCGACGAGCTGCTTGCGGGCACTGGAGCGCTCGAGCATGCGCCGCACCTGCTCCGCGTACGAGACCGGCGCTGACTCCACGCCCTTCTCGACCTTCTGCGGCTGCGTTGCGCCCTTCGACGTCGCTTCCTTGGCCGTGCGGGACCGCAGGTTCTGCTGCTGCGCGCGTCGGAGCATCGTCTCGTTGAGCTGGTGCTGCGTCACGGCCAGCGGCGGATTGCTGCGGCGCGACGTGACGGCGCGAGGCGCCTCGGAGCCCTCGATCGACTCGGGCACACCGTCGACCTGTCTGCCCTGCTCGTGGGCGCGCGCCCGGCGGTGTGCAGAAACCGGCGAAGCGTGGCCAGCAGCAAGCGCCGCGGCGGCGCCGAAGGTGCGGCCCGCGGCGCGCAGCTGCGAGTCGGTGACCCAGTCGTCCGAGCCAGGCGGGTCGCTGCTGGGTGCGCCGGGCGAGCCGCGGTGGTTCGCACGCGCATCCGAGGCCCGGCTGCGCGCGAGCATCGCCGCGGGCGTGCGGGCAGCAGCAGGCGCAGGGCTGAGATCGCGCTCGATCTCCAGGTCGCTGTCGTCGCTGAGCGCGGAGCGGCGAGTGGACGCCTTGCCCTTCTCGCTGCGCCGCTGTGCAGCCTCGAGGGCCCTCTGCTTAATGAGCTGCAGGTTGCTGGCGCGCTCGCGCTTGGCCTTGGCAGCGACGGCAGCGCTGAAGATGTCGGCAGCGTCGGGCAGCTCGTCGTCTGACGTGGCCGGGCTCTGCAGGGCGGGCGAGATGCGACTGGCCTGTCCGAAATCTCTGCCGGCCAGGGTGTCGCGTCGATCGGCAGCGCGAGCATGCGCCTCGGGGTGCGACACTTGCGGCGCGGCTCGGAGCGAGGACGACGGTGCATCGGCCTCGATGGGGTCTGAGACGGGCGCCGGCCGAGGGCGAGCGATGGCTGGAGGCCGCAGACTGCAGGGGGAGTGAGTAGCGGTCGCGCCAACGCCACGCGTCCTGGCTCACCTGTCCTGGCCGCCGATGCGCGTCAGCAGGTCGGAGATGCCGTACGTCTTGCGCTCGGCGACGGGCTGGGCCTTGACGGCCTTGGTCTTTTGGTCGCGCTCCAGCCGCGCCGTCATGCGGTGCATCTCTTCCTTTTGCTGCTTCGAGAGGGGCTGCGAGAGGCGTGTTAGGGGTGTAGCTAGGGCTGCACGTACGCGCTGCTCACCTTGGGCGCCTTGACCTTGGACGTAAGCGCGAGGTGCGAGCCGCCGGCGCGCTTGTGGTCAGCGTGTGCCGGCCGGCGCTCCTTGCTCCGTGCTGCCTTGGCAGACTTGCCGGGCAGCTTCTTGCGCTCGAGCACAGAAAGCACATCGTCCAGCGGGTCGCGCTCATCGTCGATCTGCACGTCGGAGCTGCTGGACACGTCGCCCGCGCTCTCGTGCCCCGCGTCGGCATCGGCGTGGCCCTGCTTTGCGCGAGCCTGGGCTGCCATGTGCAGCAGCTTGGCGCGCCGCTGCTGTGCAGCCTCGTCTTCGCGCTGCAGCTTCTGAGCTAGCAGCGGTGAGGGATGCGCGCCGCCATCGCTGCCGTCCGACACGGGATCGTCATCCTCGGAGCCGGACGGCGCGGCGCTGCCAACAGCCTTTTTCGCTCGTCTCGCCTTGCCCTGCTTGCGCGGTGAGGAGTACGAGCCGTCGCTGGCGTCTTCCTCGCTCGACACGTCCGACGGCGACACCCGCAGCGCTGCCGGCTGGCCGGCTCGGCTGCGCATGCGGCCCGCGACGCCGCCCTTGCGCAGCGGGCGAGCTGCGGCGCGCGACGTGGAGCCTGGGCTGGCGCGAGTCGCCACCACATCGTGCGGCGCGTTCGACGACGGTGGCACGCTGCTGAGGTCCGACGAGAGGCCGGGCCGTGCGTCGCCTGACGACGACGGTGCAGCGCCGGCCGCAGCGAGGCGCTTGGCGCGGAAGCGAGCGAGGAATGCGTCGGGGTCTTCCTCGTCGTCGTCGGCGGCCTCCTCGAGGTGCAGCCGCGGTGCAGCGGCAGGCGCCTTGGGCGCCGGCTGGTGGTCACTGCCGGGCGAGAGCGCCGTGGGGCAGCTCGACTCGGCGCGCTCGCCGTCGCTGTCAAAGTCGCTCAGCACGGCACGCAGAGGCGGCGACGACGGCGCGCTGGGCGAGGCCTCGGGCGCCGGGCGGGCGCGGCCGTACGTGGTGCGGGCGGGTGCAGGCGGCAGCACGCCGGCGGAAGACATGGTGCCGCGGCGAGAAGGAAGGGTCACGAGTGGCAGGTGGGTGTCCGGGGCGATGAGGCGGAGCAGGGAGATGGGTGTGAGAGGGAGGGAGCGTGTGGATCGCTCAGCTGCGGCGGGCCGCGCGCGAAGCACACGCGCCCATTTACGCGTCGCGCGCAGCGCGCGCCGTGATGCTCTCGGCGAGCGTAGGACCGCTCCCACGCCGTCCCGGCCGAGACGAGGCCCGCGCGGCCGGCCGGCGCGGCTGCCGAGCCGGCGGCGGTCAGCAGCGAAGTGCCATCTCGCCGCCCTGCGCTTTCAGCGCCTCTCTTCCGCACCGCCATCTCCAAGCACACGCCGCCGCCATGAGCGCCCAGTCCTCCTCGTCTGCCGCGCGGCCGCTCTTCGATGCCATCCCCGACGCCGTCGCCGCGATGCGCGCCGGCGAGTTTGTCGTCGTGCTCGACGACGAGGACCGCGAGAACGAGGGCGACCTCATCTGCGCCGCCGAGCTCTGCACGACGGAGATGATGGCGTGGTTCGTGCGGCACAGCAGGTGAGTGCGCTGCACCGCGAGGACGTGTGCGGAGAGCGAGGTGGTGGGTGTGTGGGCAGAGCTAGGCGGGCACGGCTGCGAGCGGGCATGCCGCAGCACGGCGAGGAAAGAGGAGGGGCCGCGCTGCGCATGTCGCGAGTCAACGCGCAGCTCCGTCGTTCTCTCAGAGCAGAGAGACTCAGAGGCCGCTCTGGGCATAGCTGTGGCGCTGCGGCGGCAAAGATCCGGGACGTGTTCTCCTGGCTGCCCCGCGTCATTGCGCGCAGAGGACTTGCCAGAGGCTGCCGCTGTGCTCCGTCGCTTATCGGTCTGGCTCTTGCCGCCATGGTGGCAAGAAGCGAGCGCTGACGCCGTCTTGCGCGCTCCAGCGGCTTCATCTGCATCTCGCTGCACCCGTCCATCATTGCTGCGCTCGAGATCCCCATGATGGTGCCGCGCAACACGGAGAAGAACAAGACGGCGTACACCGTCACGGTCGACTACATCGACGGCACGACGACGGGCATCAGCGCGCACGACCGCGCGCTCACTGCGCGCAAGCTCGCCGACGCCCACGTGCCGGGGCGCGTGGCGCCGGGCGACTTTACGCGGCCCGGTCATCTGAACCCGCTGCGCTATACGGAGGGCGGCGTGCGGCGGCGAGGCGGGCACACGGAGGCGAGCGTCGGTGAGTGCTGCATGGACCGTGTGTGCCGCAGCGCTGACTTCTTTCCCATCAGACCTGGCAATCGCGGCGGGCCTGTCGCCAGCGGCGCTGCTCTGCGAGCTCGTCGACCCCGCCGACCCCAAGGGCGGTATTGCCGCGCGCGACGCCTGCGTGGCCTTTGCGCGCGAGCACAACCTGCGCATCTGCACCATCGAAGCGCTGCGCAAGTGGCGCGAGGAGCAGGAGGGCGCCTCGTTTGAGGGCAGCGAGAGCGCGCAGGGCGAGACGCTGGACCAGGAGCGCGGCGTGACGCTCGAGACGCAGGCTGTGGCGCCGCCAGCGAGCTCATAGCGCGCTTGCGCGAGGAATGAAATCTCGTGCAGACCAAGCAGCGTGCCAATCTCGGCAGAGCACTTGCAGCTGAGGCAGCGCTGAGGTGCTGCGCTCCTTGACCATCACAGCAACGGCTGAGGGCAGCTCCGGTGCAGCAGCAGGTGCTGCGGCTCTTGCTGAAGCAACCAAGGCGCAAGAGCGGCCAAGAAGGCCGGCAAGGCAAGCACGTCTAGCATGTCCAAGCAGCCTTACATCTGAAGGTCTCACATTCGCGTTGTCTGCCTTCTTCTGTCTGCCTTCTTCTGTCACCTCTACAGGATGCTGCAATTGTTGGCAGCTGCATCACTGCCACAGGCTGACACGCACCTGAGATTCACCCAACCTCTGCTGCAACAGGTTTGCACAAGTCTTGTGCAGTGCTTGCCCCACTTTCCTCCTGCGCACCTGCTAGAAGGGCTTGGAGCTTGCCTGCGCTGCACAAGCCTTGACAAGAGGACCTGCAGCCCATGCAGCAGGGTCAACATCAGAGAAGTAGCTGGCATTGTCTCTGTTGCGGGCGCTGGCATCAGAGCTGCCAGCGCAAGGGCCCGCAGCCCATGCAGCAATGTCAACTCCCTACCCAGAATCAGTCTCACCACCCTTCTTACTTGCGGCACACAGCCAAGTTCCCTCCTGTCCACATTGCCAAGGGACTCTTCATCAAGTTTGGTGCACCGCCAGCAACGCTTGGCATGCAGTTTCTGCCGCTGTCCACAGCGATCCTTCTTGCCAAGCTCAGCATGTTGCACCAAGAGCTCCTCAATTGTTGTCAGGCGCGCATCAAGCACCTGCACTTCTGCTCCAATGAGGGCAGAAGCCTGGCTGAACAGCTAAGTGCGCTTGGCTTGCTGCAAGTTGGAGTACAGGTGGAGAGCGCAAATTGGTTGATCAATCCTGATCATCTCTGCCAGCGCAACCGCGTAGACTTAGGGTTAGGGTTAGGGTTAGGGTTAGGGTTAGGGTTAGGGTTAGGGTTAGGGTTAGGGTTAGGGTTAGGGTTAGGGTTAGGGTTAGGGTTAGG